TTTACAGAGTTACCATACTGCATATCACCAAATCACGCTTTTGGGCTGAAATCATAGTCAACTTTCGTGTGTTGCCGAATTCACGAAATGGCGTTTATACAAGCACGAATCGGCCGAAAGCGTGAAATGATAGCGTGAATTCGGCATCGTATAAACACAGTAGTCCTACCGCTGCGCCACAGACCCATCGCGCAAGACGACGAACAAACTCTGTACACATCTTATTTTCTTTAGGTCTACGTTATAATTTGACTAAAGGCAACTAAACCGTATATTTTTTCCTGACGACTGTGACAATTAGTCCCGTTTTCTTGCCCGCAAACACAAAGTATGCTTTTAACTCAGAACTCCCATACGTTTTTAAGGTTTAAAGACTACTTTAATTTAAAATTCGGACGAAAAAATGTCCTTGGTATTATAATGTTTACAGAAAAAAAAAAAACAAAAATCAAGTTGAATCACACAGGGTTCGAACCCACAACCCCACGACCTTAGTCCTCATATAGCAAAGTTGAAAGCGCAAGTGATTAGACCGCTGGGCTACCGAATTTCACACTTTTGGAGTGATTTTTAAGGCAAATCGCCTTGTATTTAGAAAAATTTTAGAAAAAAAATTAGGGCAATTCGCCGTTGCATTTAGAAAAGGTCAAAACGAAGCAAGTCGAAAAAAACCGCCCTAAATATTAGAAAAATAGAAAAATTAACCCTAAAAAGATTTTTTTATGGTCAACTGTCTTGAGTTTATGGCAAATTTGTCATGAAAATAGAAAATTTTTCTCAGTTCAACGGCGAAAATTTTTTTAGGGCGATTTTCTAAAATGTAGAAAATTATTTTTATGAGTGTACTGCTTTCTGTTCACTGCCACGGCCAATTTACCGATGGCACACGCTTTTCTATACCTTGTGTTTCCTACCTTTCGGGACGGCTAATGAATTCGTTTGCCAATGCAAATTTCCTACCGAAAAACACCTCTACGCGTCAAATGAAATGCAAATATTATACAAAACGCCCAAAGATGACGATGCGTAAACAAAAAAGTAGCCAGACCAAAAAATCAGGAACTAAAACAAACAGCAAGCAGCACATGGCAGCATAAACATTTGGCGGTGTCTAAAAATAAGAGATCTGCACTGAGCGACAAATGGGGGTATTTATTTAAAAACCATTAGTTTTCCAACTAAAATAAAATAATACAAACTACAACTAGAATAGGTGATTGATACTAAAATTTTTTTAAAAGTAGCACTTTATCAAGCGTAAGAATCGTTTTTAATATTTAATTTACATTAACTTGAGTCTTTTAAAAGATTGTTGTTAATAAACTTAAATATTATTAGGACTTGCACTTAAATTTAAAATGAGTCTGAAGTGTTTTTCGCGGTAGTTTTCGATCTAGATGACGGAAAGTCAAAACAATTTCTCTCAGTGCTTTTGTGGCGTTTGTTTTTGAGTATGTGGGTAAGTGTCGGTCGCACGTGTGTTAGTGCGTGAATGCTGGCTCCACTAACTATATTTAGAGAGAACTTACCTAGAGGCTGAAACATAGGTGGTTAATTGGAGAGGGGGTGGTGCCAAGGGGGGTGTCTGAAGGGGGTGGATCAGGGCGTTATGCCAAATGCCAGCAGCTGTTCTGTTGCCCGGTTAATGAATGAATATGCATGAGGAGGCGTGAAAGAGAGAGCGCACAAAGCTCTCAAAACAAACTCTTCCGGTCTAATTTGGCACTGCCGCTAAATTCAGTAATTTCGGGGATATATTATAAATATATTCGACATTTGGTATTTAGTAATGGATTGAAATAAATGTAACAATTTTAAATATCCCACACACCAAATTGTTGTTTATTTACCAATTTTCAGCTATAATAATTCCAAAATATAATTTAAGAGTCCTTGGAATTCGTAGCTAAAAAGACTTATAAATTAAATGTATCTTTTTCAAATAAATAAAAAGAGTAATTACCGGGTATCGCAAGGTCAGCAGAACTCTCCTTCGACTGAATGATACAATAATCCTCTTTTTCCCCATTTACACATGTCGCGTTTTTGGAGAGGGTGTGGGCGAGAAAAAGTGCTGCCCTCATTAATTTGCTTCGCTTATCAAATTGGTTTTGTTTTTATTAATTTTTGTTTGGCTCGAAGCTGACACAAAACTTTATCCTGGTGTTGTTGCTGTGCTTTCTTGTTTTGCCAGCGATAGTGTTTTTGTTGCTGCCACAATATTTGCCAGACCATTAGCGCCATTAACATAATGAATTGCCATTGGACTGCGGCATCGATAGAATCGAATCGAATATAACCGAGGCGATATACCATTATTTCCAGCATGTTGGAACTGTTTGCTCGCCATTTACCTGGCGAGGTGTGCAAATATTTCAGGCGTGGGGACAGCGGGGCGATGACATTGATTTAGTGGGAGTTTTCAGAGCTCTTGTTATATTAGAAACTTAAACAGGGGATAAGCGCATGTAGCTAAAGTGGTTAAGGAAGAGTTAACGGGGAAAAATAAAAGTATGTCAGGAACTGCGGATCAGCTATTTGCATTTAGAATATCTCAATACCACAATGATTGTTAATGATTTGCCAACTGTGCAGAATGATAAACCATTTCTCCTCTTCGACTGCCCGTGATTAATCATTTGATTTGGCATCCCAAAATTATAATTTGTGATTGATTACGTACTCAGCTGTTGCCTATTATCCCCAAAGGACCAAACAGTTCAAGCCAATTAAATCCGTTTGTATCCTGCTTTCTGTCAGCATGTTCTTCGCCGTCTACTTCGATTTGGAAAAGTTCAAGAGCCGGCGTAGGAAAATGCAAAATAGCTTAAGACTTAAGCCAACGAATGAATGATTCCTGAAGGCAGGCGTAAGTGTCGAATGACAGACGATGACGACATTTATGAGCTTTCGTCAAAGAGACTTTTCAATTGCCAGGGCAACGTTTCTAGGGATTTTCCCACTCTTCTCCCCCCCTCGAAGTTGAGTTTTCCTTTGCCTACTTTGCATATGAGCGGGAAGTTGGAAAAACTTGAGATTCTTTTTTTAGTTTTAGTGCGGAAGTAAACTTTGGAGACTTTTCGCAGCAAATATAAGCTGTCTTTCTAGTTTTATTCTTTAGTAAACTTTTCCTAATTGCTGCCAGCTTTAGAGACCCATCTATTGGCCAAATTTCTTATTGAAAACTCGAAATTGGTTTTCCAATTTTCATTTTATTGATTGCCTAATTTGTTTTCGTTATTTTATTCCATTGCAAAAGCTCTAGAACGAGTTAATTAAGTGTTGAATTGCCTAAAATTTGGCCTTTGAAAAACACAAATATTTAGCGTTGGCAGAATTAAGAAATATGACTTATAGTTTATGTTATGAACTTCGGGTTTTTCCTCCGCAGCATTATTTCACCTCGACGGGAGGCAAAAGTGAAAAAAAAAACAGAATTCTGAATGGCAAATTGCGTGAACTGATTCATGAGAATTTCCAAGGAATTTCTTAAGTGAATTTCGTTGAATTGTTTGTTATGTTACTCGATAGGTTCGTACTTCTGCCAGAACTCTTTGCTATCTTTTTAAATATTCATTTTTCCATTACATTTTTTGTTGAAATTTTTCATATTTATTTTTTGGCAACAGCAAACCAATTTGTTTATAGCACGCGGAGCGTTGTGTTTTTGACATATTTATGCCGTTGGCCAGGCACTTGTGCTCGGCCCTCTCACTTTCTCCCCTTTCTGGCTGCCACGCCCCCTCTGCCGTGTATTGGCAAAGTTTTCAACGCCGCCTCTGGCTAAAAACAAAAGCCGACAAAAGGCAAAAGACGGCGATGATGAAGACGAGACGATGAAGAGCCAAGAAGCCGGCGAGCGGCGAACGACCTGTGCCTGGCTTTAAGACTTTCCACAATGGAAGTTTTCCCTCGAACCGCTTTCTTTCCTTTTATTTCCGCCTCTCCCGCCCCGCTTTTCACCCTGCTTTTGTTTTGCTGTTGTCTGTGGCACAGTTTTGTTTGGAATGCTAATGAAATCGAGTCGCTTGACTTCATTGGGAACCTCGATACATTTTTAGGTACATAAAACTTTAAATTATGTAACTTTAAGATTATATTTTTAAAATTTTTTTAAATTTATATTTATTAGGTTAGAACGGTTTGATATAGTAAATAATAATACCACTTTATCGTTACCTATAAAATTTAAATTTCCGACTTATTTAAAGCAGTTTTTTATTATTTTACTCAATAATTTAAAAAAGGGATTTATATTCATTTTATTTTTTGAGAAGCAAGTAAGAAGCAAGTCTTTTCAAAATACAATCCATATTTTCAAAATCCCATAAATGTAAGATAATCTCTGCTTTCATTCCTCCAGCTCATCTGCAGTATTTCAAAGATAATCTCCCTTACTTTATGACTTTAAAAGGGTATTAAAACTTCGCTTGATCGCTGATAAATTTCTTTGTACTTTCTGCTTCCGACTTTTTGTTTCATTCGAAAATTTAACAAACAATCTGAAGTTGTACTCGTTGTGGGCCTACCCATCTCTTTCTGCTCGAGTCGCCCCGTCTCTTTCGCGACTTGTGTTTTGATAGGACCTTGCGTGTCTGGCGAGCATTTCGTAAGACTTAAGTGGGCCGGCACCCAAAAACAAAAACCGAAAAAAGCCTTAAAAACCCATATATATATATATATTTATATCTGAGGAGAAGTGGGCGGTTGGGTTGGGGGAATCCGAAAAGTAGATACGATATATTTATTGGCGGCGTCAGTTTGCGATGCTTTTTTTGCGGGGGCGGCAGTTTCTGTTTGAGTTGCTTTGTTTTGGGGTTTGCCTCTGCCTTCGCCTGTGCTAAATCGAATTTATTGTTTTAATGCCATTTTCTGTCGCTGTCGAGCGCAAAAATTGGCAATTTGTTTAGAAATTAGCGCACTGCCTGTCGTTCTTTGTGCCTCTTTCAGCATGTAAAATGAAAATCAATTCCATTTCCCCCTCTCTCTCTCCGTTTCAGCGCCAGAGGGTCGAGTTGCCCAAATGAGCGGGGCGTCAGGAGCGGGAGCAGGTGGCCCAGGTGGAGTGGGCGGCGGTGCCACCCACATCTTTCGTTCGCTGTCATCGGAGAGCCAGAAGCGGGAGTGGTCCAAACGGCTCTCCCTCCGGGGAATGCGTCACGGAGGTCCTGGCGGCACTGGAACTGGAGCGGGAACGGGAACTTCGAGCCTGGCCAGCAGCAAGGAGGTGAGCTAATTGACCTCAACGTTCTCAGACACGAAATCATTGCGCAAAAGCTCACTGGGGAAAAAGGAAAGACCTAAGCCTGTGCACTTAACAAAAATATGTATTCCACTTAAGGTTACTATGTGTCAAGGAATTCTCAATACTTTCAAGTCAGATTGTAATGAATTTAAGATCGCAGCTTATTTTATAACAAATATATCTTATTTTAAATTAATCAAATTACTTATTTTAGATAACTTTAATCGATTAAATAAAAAATAATAAAAGACCAATACTTAACTCAATGAGACAATGCAATTTTTAGCCACATTTTTTTTATTTTTAACCTTACATATAAATAATAATTAAAATTGAGTTTTGTTTCTGGGAACTTGTAAAATTTTCTTATTCCCATTTATGAAAATGTTTTTCAATTTTGAGTATTTAAAACATTAGACCGTAATTCAGGTGTGTTTCTGTTACGTTTTTTTATTTTAAAGGTCAGTCTCGACTTTATTTTTCCTGCTCATCCGTGTACTCACCATTTCATCATATTTTTTCCAGGAGAGCAAACACAGAAAGTTCTTCAGCCGCTCGGCCTCGTTGCGTCAGGCGGGGAGTGGAGGAGGCGGAAGCCAACAGACCTCCATGGAGCTGCATGTGCCCGGCCAGGAGGGCAGGGGCGGCGGTGGGGGAGCCTCCTCCGGAGCGGGCTCACCGCAGACCCAGACCCAGCCGTCGACGCCCAAGAAGTCCAACTGGGAGGTGATCGAACATTTCAATACGAGTGCCAAGGGAGGCAAGGCCATGGTTAGCAGCAGTTTGATTGCGGTAAGTACGAGGGGATTCTGGCATCAATTAATTTGCCCGCCTAATGGACGGCACGTCGATGGCAGACTACCAATCCCATTTCTCTGCCTCCTTCCACCTGTTGGGAGATTTAAATATGTAATTCAATTGTCCCGCAAATAAGCCGGGCCGAGCTAAATTTAAATACAATTTCATTGATGGCTGAAGTTGCTAATGGGAAATGAGAAGGGACGAAACGTTCGCCCTGGGAAATTTATTTAAAGTAAAACAATCTGGCACGAGCCAACCGTCTGCTTGTCAGAAAATTTTGCTTTAATTAAATTTATTGTTTTATCGCAATCGATGCCGAAATTGGGCTTGGGGCTAATTAAAAACTCTTCAAATTTTTCCATCGCGTTTTTTGATGTAAACCTCTTTTCATTTAAGTATTTAATTTTACCAGTTAGGAGAAAATTCGTTTCGTACTGCTCTTTTTTTAACATATTAATTAAAGCATTTTTTCTGTAAGAACAAAAATTTTTAAGGTTTACCTCTGTAAAATATTTATGTATTTGCTTAAATAGAAGAATTGTAATACTATATTTTATACAAAATGTTATAAAAAGTGTTCTCTACAATTTCAATTTAATGAGAATTTAAAGCGCACTCGGTTGAATGAAAAAATTATTTTATAGTGGTTTGTTTTGAAATGAGCTCTTGGTCTCGAAAACATAATGATACTAAGCTGTTGCTATCAAACGAGGTTTTAAGTTGCATTTTTTTATCTGTTTCCCCGTATAGTTTTTCAGATACGTTACTCTATACAAACGTGTTTTAATGCCAACTAACAAGCGATGTCCTGGAAAACGCACTAACCCACACACACTTGCATGGCTAAGCTGACATGCACAGGGGGCCACTTAGCAACTGCACACGTGTGTTTGTGTGTGTGAGGGTATTTCTATTTGCGTTCGTTGTCAAGAGTCAATTGACAAAGTTTAGCAAATTGAAAAGGCAAAAAAAGAAAAGGCAAGAGGCGAGAGGGAAAAAAACATTTCTAACATTCAAATGGGCGGCAATTTGCTTAAAAACGCCGCGGGGATCCAAACACACTTGCCGCAGTGTGTGTGCGGGTGTGCTGGTGTGGGTGAGGGTGTGCATGAGTGGGTAAAACGTTTAGTTCAATTGTTTGCGGACCCCATAAAAAATCATAGCATACTTACAAGAGCCAAGTGAATTTTTTATGTAAATAAAAGAATGCGAGTATATTTATTATAATTAAGCGACTGATTTACGTATGTTCATCAAAGTAGGTAAATTATTCGTTGTAAAATATTTAACATGTATAATTTCTGTTGCTTAATTATCTTGATATTTTACTACTTTGAATTTGAACAATTTATTCTCTTGATTAATAAATAATTTAATAATAATTAAATTAGTTTGCAAATATTTTATACGAAAAATAATTTGACATGCGGCTTTACATAGGTTTAATTACATTCTATTAGAAAAATATTTCAAATATGTGCAATAAAAACCAATTAAAAAGTTGTTTGTTTGAGGAATAAATAAATTGGTATTTTATTTGCTTCATGACTGCGGTTTAGTTGAAATGTCTAAACGAGATTACATACCCTGCAGCTCTATTAATTATTTTGTTCATTCTACCTTTAAAGGCCGGCATTACGCGGTGCAATATAGACGAATCCATGGACTCGACAAACTCCAGCTCCACCTGCCACAGTCCCATGATCTACCAACGTGACGAGGCGCAGCTGCTGCAGCCAGGTAAGAAGAATGGAAAAATGTGGGAAAAATCTTGGGTAATAGGAAATCGTTTAGCTCTCATAACAGGGGCTACTGAGGGTCAATAAAAATACCAGCATGCTCACATGCCGTCCCTTGTGAGAAGGGCTACCCACTTTTGCCCCACCACACCGCTCAAAATGTCACAAGTTGATTGTCATTGTCATATTGAATTTGACGAGGCTATTTCGCAGTCTCGTCTCTTTTTCTCGTCTCACGTTTCCTCGTCATTGGCATTTCACTCACATATCGTATTTTTTCCCCCTTCAAGGTTGCCTTGGATGCCCAGTCCCCATATCATCGCACCAGCTTCCTTCCATCATCCACCATCACCACCTCCACCCAGATTTATTTTAGTTTGTGTGTTCCTGCGAAAGAACCCAGCCAGCCTTTGGTTTTCCTTGGCTTCGATAGACATCTGTATAGAGCTAGCTGCGTAGATTTCTATGGAAATTTACATAATCACGTTTGGCATTTATTTATTGATGCATATAAAAACATACTCCGAGATCCCTTCCAGTCCACGCCTCCCCTACGAGTTTGTGGTTCTTTTTTGCCTTGTGGTCAGGACATGGGACAGTTGAATGATTTTAATATGCCGATTTGGCTGACGTTCTCCGTTTTACAATAAAATATTTTATGGCTTTGTGTGCTGCATTTGAAATCAAGGTTTCCATTCTCAGGGAGGGAAATGTCAGGAGCGATGATGTGCCGCACACAATGGCTGGCAAATCGAAAATGTGTATAACACGTTAACCGAAGGAATTGTACTCGAATTGTCACAATAGCCCCAGAAATATGATTATGTGGGTGGATAGATGTCTTTGTTGGGTTTTTGTAGCCTAGAAAGATACATAAGATGTTTTTATCAAGTTAAAAGAAATCGTTGGATAGTTCAGGGGTTACCAAATAAAATTGATTTTTGATAGAATGAATAACTTTTCTTTTTACATAAATTGAATAGACATTAATTTTTGACTTTAATGACTAAAAAACCAGTATCAATGGAGGTTTACAAATTTACATCTTTTTACACACATCCCATTTAGATATGCAGGTCAGAAATCATAGCTTTTTATATGAATTCAAAGATAATAGTCTTCAAGCCCAGCTTAGTGGTCTTAAATATTCAGGCTTTTAATTAAGCCCTCGATTCAAATCCGTGCTTTTAAATCGTGCAAATAAAAAAACATAGAAATAAAACCTTTTTCCGCCTTGTTACTTATTATCTTTTTGCACTTATAAATTAGCCACAAACAAAGTATTTAATTTTTAAATAATATGTCAATTTACAGGTCATCGATAGCTGCAACCAGCATTTACACACATAAATAATTCATTAAACAATTTAGTTGCATTTACCAGCTCATTCACACATGTCAATGACCATTTACAATCAAAACGCTTCTGCGAATAGCAAAACTTTCCAATTTCATGCTGTGCCAGATTTATAACTATGATTTCCATAATTCTAATCAGTGGCAAAGCCTTTTCCCATTTGTGTGGTAACTCAAACGTGAAAATGCAACAGCTGTAATTGAACTTGCAAATTGGGCTAGCAATTTGCAATCACGTTTGAGGCTAATTGTAGTTGAATTTCACTTAGAGCTCAAGTTGGGATAACATTCTGGCTGGGGTATTAATTAATTTGGCTTTTGTTGGGGGCGTATTCATAGGCCTAGCAAGGAGAACTCCTCAAGTTGAATTTATCTGCTTTCAGGCGATGCCGCCAATGTGGAGGCCAACAATCCGGTTCTGGGCGGCGGATCCGGAACTGGCAATGGTCCTGTGAGCCCCAGCATTTCCTTCTGGTTCCGTTTGAACCGCATCATCCTGCGCCTCTGCTCCACGCACCAGTTCAAGAATCTCCAGGTAAGCTCCTTACGCTGCAGGCTTAGCGTGAAATCCTTTGCCAAACAAGTTCCGACTCCTCCTCAACCGACGGCGTTCTTTGAAACTTTTTCGCCCGCTTTGCTACTTAGTTTGCTCAACTTTTTTCCAAGCACTAGAAAAAAATTTCCAATAAATGGGTCTTTAACCTACGGACTTTTTATAAAGTTATGACTGTATATAATTTAATTTAATTTTATTTTTTTGCCATCGTTTATTTGATTCTGCATTTTAAAAAGATTAATTTTCTAGTAAAAAAAATTAGTTGTATTTTTAATATTTTTTTGAGTAAAATAACTTTTTTTTAACAAATTTCTAGTTTTCTCTAACTAAAAAAAATCTTTGAAAACTAATTCTCTGAGTGCGTTCATTTCCCTTTGGCAATCAGGTGGAAATGCTGTATCAGCGGTATTTTCTGCGTATGAACCAGAGTAATACGACGCACATTCTGGCCCTGCTTTTAGCGCTGATTTTGGCCCTGTCCTGCACCCATTTGGTCTTTACCACGCTGCAGCTGCGGCGCAGCACCTCCCTGCTGTTGGAAATCAGCGAACTCGGCCTGGACGCAAATGCGACCGTTGGCAACTTGACGACCACCACAATGAAGCCGCCGGCATCAGCGGGTCAAATTGCCCAAGGCAGGAGCTTCGTTTCGGCTCTGGGTCTCAATTCCAATGCCAGTTGGGTGGCCAGAGAGGCGGAGGGCGGGGGCTCCGATTTGAAAGCCCCACACAAACGCAACCTCGCCGATTTTGAAGCCGACGATAATGGGCAGCCTGGGCGGCAGTGGCGCCGGCAGAAGCGCAAGCATTATCGACGCCTCCACAAACATCGGTACAAGCACAAGTCGCACCAACAACATCACATCAGGTAAGTAGGGTTGCCAACTATTGGCAGTGATAACATATACTTAAGAGATTACTTATGAGAAAATGTATACCTCATTATAGTATCAGAAATATTTTGACCTAATTTATAAATCTTCATAAACCACAAAACTTTCATGTTCATAAGTGGAAAACATTTAGAAAATATCATTCCCTATAATAAAATTGTAAGCTTGGCACTAAATAGTTTTATGAACCTACTATAAAGTGATATTATATACATATATTTTTAAAAAAATTTTGTATTTATTTAAATATTTTACATTTATCTAACTTTTTCATTAAAAGTTAAAATAGCGAGATTCAGCTATAAAATAGCAATCTGTTCGTCACTGCTGACAAAAATAGAGGCCTGTAATATAGATGAAAAAGAAGAGGCAAGTTTTGACAGGTCACCCTGGTCGACAATGTGTTTCTCCCGAAAGGCGATTCATATTTTGCACAGCTCGCATTTGAGGTTTTACTCCGAGCGCCCTCCTGAAATTCAATCAAACAACTTTAGGCTGCCCAAAAAGAGCTGAGCCCATAAAAGTATGGCCAAAGAAGGCTCAAATTGAATTTAAAGCAGGCTGGAGGGGCTGGAACAAGTTAAGCTTCAAGAAAAGTAATTTTAGCACAGGCAAGGCCACAATTGATCGAAGCGAATCCATGACAAGGCTTTAATCGAGTGCGAAAAAGTGTGTTGAAATTGAATTTGAAGACACTTTTAGACGAATCACTTTAATTTTACTGCACAAATGAATCTAAAAGTTTGTTTTGACATTTTGCAAAACTTCAAGGAAACGTAATTTGAGTCGAAATTATGTGAAATTCCACTTGTGTTATATTTAAGATATAATAGCTGATAAAGCTTGAAATAAGTAAAAACGTGTTCAGTTTCAAAGACCAAATTAAGTACTTATTTAGTGGTAATAAGTAGTAAGTTGTAAATAAAATAACTAAAGTTCGGCTTTATTAAAAGGTCAGGAATTTAAGAGAATAACTCCATAGTTAAATTAAATTTAAATAAATATTCAAGAAATAGAAGTGAGTTTCACTGCTCAATAAGTTGTCAATAGAAATAACATAAATTGGTATTGCGTGTTTTTTCCTTGACCAACTATTTCAATTTATTTTCACCCAAATATTTGTCAACAAGTTCATCTTCACAACATATAGTGCCAAAAAATTAGGCTTACATATCTCTTGCAAGGACACACAATACACAATGCTTTAATCAATAGCTCGTGCGAGTATTCGATAACCGACTCCTCGAATTCATTTTCCCTGCCGTTTCCATTTACATTTAGATTTATTTTGCCACAAATATTTATGCTGGCCATAAATGCCGGCAAGACAGATAGTTAGCCAAACACAAAACAGACATTTTCATCAATTGAGATGCGAGCGAAATGAAATTTCGGACTTTATTGCAGATACAGGATTCGGGAGAAGCGGAGCCTGCAGGACACTGGGTTGGTCAAGGGGGGAGGTGCCCAGCTGATTGTTGACTCTGCCCCCGATGATGTGTACACAGTTTCTCGTGACGACGACGATGGTGATGATGATGATGACGGTGATGAAGGGCGTAAACGCATTACGTATACGCCGCGTGTCCGCGACAACAATCAAATTTCACAAGCGGAACGTGATGAAGTGTTAAACACATCGTCAAACGCCGGCGCTGGACCTGCAACAGATAATTTGGACACTCCCTTGGGCTACGGCCCCCTCGTGTCCCTGATCCTGATGCAGGTGGACGAGTCCGTGCTGGTTTTCCTCATTGTCATGCTAATCTGCGGGATTGTCTATGCCTGTGAGTTCCTCATCATCGAATGACTCCCGACTTCGGGGCCTAATCCCTTTGTGTTTGCCCACAGTCCTGCTGTGCATTCTCTCCAAGCCGGCCATGAACGAGATCTTCCTGGTCCTCGTGTCCTACGTCATTTTGGGCACCTTCCTGGCAATCGAGGTGGCCGTCAGCTATGCCATGCAACCCAGGTTGGTAAACAGGTTTCTACTACTTTTCAGACTCCACAGAAAAGAGAGTATTGATTGGTAATCAATTCAACTACGAGTCGATTATAAATTTAAACTTAAACGATTTCAGTTGACTCCTAAATCTGTAGACTATTATAACCAATTTTAATATGAATTTATAAATTTTACTTAGAAATTATTATTTAATTATATTTTAAATATTAAATAGCACTTTTTGAATAATTAATTTAAAATACAGGCGAAATCATTTATTAACATCAAGTGAAACCTCTTAAAAAAATAGCATCAGTCTTTGGAGATCTTAGAGTCCGTAAAATTTCTCCCTGTGCACGGCAGCTGTTGCTTGGCCCGGCAAAATTAATCATTCACGCCTCGCTAATTGCGAGAACTGGGAATCGGGCTAAGCAAACAACCGCATCTGGGCTCCTGTGTCCTAATCGCTCTTCTCGTGTCCGATTTCCTCCGGCAGCAAATCCTTCAACGGCAGCGCCTGCTGCATCGTGCTCATCTACATGACCTACACGATGCTGCCCCTCCGCCTGCGGGAGGCTCTGATCGGCGGCATCCTCCTGAGTGTCGTCCATCTGTACACCTGCCTGAGGTTCACCGCCATGCAGGACGAGGAAGTGGAGGTGCTCCACTGGGAGGAGGTGAGTGGGGCGGACTCATGATACACCTGTGGTCTTCGATTTGGTAAATTACTGTGGCTTGTAGTGCACGAATGATATCTGATTTAATTGCTATTTGAATTTGAGTGATTACCAAAAGGGGTTGAGTGGTCGGAAATGATTGAATATAGTTTATTCAAGTATATAAATAAAAAAAGCTATTCAACGCCATTATAGTTTGATTATCTCGCTTTCAGTTGAAAGAAAACATCGTTTTCAGGGTGTCGTATGACTTTTTCTGCTGTTTTTGTTTACATTTCAAATGAAGCATGTAGCCATCTATCAACAGGTTTGGCAGTTTCACTCAGCCGCAAATGCAAATTGATTTAGCGAATAATAAAATTGAAATACTGCGCAATAGAGAAGTAGAGTGGGTGGAAAGCCAGCTTTAATTGCCTCCTTTGCTGAGGAGCAGGCGGAAAATGGGAAAAGCAGGGCGGAAAACAGCAGCTGAGAGTGGCACGTGTCCAAGGGCCTGGGAGTAGACGTAAATGAAATGAAATTAAATTGCCGCCAAATTGAATGAAATCGAGAATGTGGAGGGTGCTCCTCCGCCTCCCCACTGCCTAAGTGTTGTTTTCCTTGTATTTATGGCTCGTAATGTCATTAATGCCTCAATATCCGCCCGCAGCTGCTCTGCACTCTGGTGGCCCTGCTCCTGGCCAACCTCACCGGGGTCTACACCCACTGGCCGAAGGAGAAGGCCCAGCGTAAGGCGTTCATCGAGACGCGGCAGTGCATCGAGGCCAGGCTGAGGACACAGCGCGAGAATCAGCAACAGGTGAGTGTTTTTTAGGGGGAGAAAATATTCTGCAGCATTTAAAAGAAAAGGAACTTAAGAAGAAAACCAATGCATAGATTTTTTAAAACGTTTTAAAGGTAGGAAATATACACTCATAAAAAAAAATCGAAGAATTTCCTTAAAATCTAGAAAATTCTTTCTTGAATTTTTGCCAAAGGCGACCTCACCTTTGTTTCAAGAAATGGTTTTTTTGAAAGGCACCATTAAAACCAGAAAAAATATTTCTTGTTTTAAGAAATTAAATTTCTTAAAACAAGAAAGGGTTTTTTAGAAAGCCACCATAAAAACAAGAAAAAATATTTCTTAAAACAAGAAAGGCGATTCTTGTTTCAAAGGTGGTTTGTTTCTTGTTTCAAGAAATTAAATTTCTTAAAACAAGAAAGGGTTTTTTAGAAAGGCACCTTTTGAACAAGAAAAATTCTTTCTTGTTTAAATTTCCTTTCAAGAAATTTTATTTCTTGATTTAAGAAATAATATTTCTTGAAGGGAAGTTTTATATTAACACTGAAACCCTAAAAATAAAATGTAACTTGGTTTTTTCTTTTGCATATTTTATTTATTTAAATTTAAAACATTTAACACTGAACATTTAAACAATTTTAAATAACACATTTTTGACTTAAGAAAACATTATTATAACCAAATATGTAGTTGCAGGCATAAAAAATTATTTTCTTCGGCTTTCCTCATCTGGAAAAAAAGAGTTATTGGGATATCAATGATTTGTTTTTAGATAAGAATAGATAGATGTTTTTAGATAATAGATAATAATGTAATGTTAATAATAGCCAAAATACAAACACGTTGGTCAGACGACCGAGAGAGGAGCAAGACAGGTAGAAAATGAAGAAGGAAGGGTTGAAAATCTAATTTCAGAAAGAGCCACATACATACATATATATTTACATACAGTCCTTTGCGCGAAGGGAGACCGAATGTAAGCAGGTCAGATCATGACAATTTTAAGAAGGAGAAGGAAACGTCGCGACGCGTAGGTCAAGCGAGCGAGAGAGAGGAGCAGAATATGAAAGGGTTGAAAATCGGGTTTCAGATCGGGTGAGCCGCGTACATGCATAGATATTTACATGCATACATAAGTATGTCAAACAAATACAACATATTTTTCTTACCTTAGAAGGTTTTAAAACAAAATTACAGCTTCGACAAACAAATTATTTGGCTGTTGCAACTGCAGGTATTTTCACTCTGAAAAATAAATAAAATGCGAGTAATAAGATAAAGTTATTATAGAACTGTACACCCACAAATTTATGTACAAATGTATGTATGTACGTAGCTCTTAGCTAAAAAACAATTCACCTAAATTGGTATACGCTTGTTAAAGAGATTTGAAATGTATCCTTTAATTACATACATACAATTGTACGCCCGCTATACAAAAAATTATATACATATTTACATACCTTTGAATATTCGGAAAAAGGCTTCACCTCTTATCCGCTTGAAAATCACGTCCATCACTCACGAATTTTTTTCACAACTGACGCTCGGGGGATCAGAGAAGTCGGTAGCCGGATAGTAGTCGGGCCGAGTAGGCCCTTCGTCCCACTTCGTTTTTCTTGTCGTTAACATTCGGCAGCCGAAGGAAGTCAATGGCTACTTTCCTATATTCTAGGGTCATTTCATTCATATATTCAAAGGTGATTTTGTCCTAAAATACGTACAAAAATGTTTTGGCTGCGACGGCAAAACAGACATATGAGATTTTCATTTTTCTATTTTTAAGAAAAATTCTTTCTTGAATTTTTTCCATCAAGAAAGGTTTTCTGTATTCAAAGGCCAATTTTCTAATAACAAGAAATTTTTTTTCTATTTTCAAAGGTAGGCCGATTCAATGGTGAGATTTCCAAAATTTAGAAATTAATTTTTATGAGTGTACAAATTTCTAAAATATTTGTAGATTTATAAGTTTATTTATTTGAATAATTAATTCCCTAAATGTTTTCCTGTTCATTTGCATTTTAAAAACGTATTTAAAGGTTTATTTCTTATAAAATATCTAAGTTTAGAGCTACGAGTATCTTGATTCTTTCCATTAATGTTGCTTTCGCTGAATCAAGAAACTCCTTTAACGCTGTAGACAAAGAAAAATCAGCAGGTACCTTATTTGTGTGTAGGAGTAAAACATGAAAAGGCCCATCCAGCAGCGTAACAAATGAACTCCGGGCAAATTTCGCAAAAAATTGTTTGCATCAAACGGAATGTTGACTGAGGACCAACTCGTAACTGATTCATCTCGTTCTTTTCGGAAGAATATACTCCTCCTACGGATTTCAGTGGCCTTTTATCTTGAATATAACAAGCAAATGGTGTTCCGTGTAGAGGGGTTCCACGTATGTCGACACCTTTTGATGATGACTTCTTGAACAGAAAATATAAAACATGATTGCGTTAAACTTTAAGGCGCTTTCTTTAATTTTCACTATAAAACTTACATTTTTAGTTGCTTGACAACATTTAACATTATCTAAGTTTAAAATACTAAAAAAGTAGTATTTATAATTTTAATATTTACATTTGCAATACTTTAATTTTTTCTTAAAATATAAACACAAAATTGATCTGGTTCACCAGGTTAACTTTATTTTTATAGAGTACGAAATCGTAAAGTTAATTTATGCGGTCTGATCCCGGGAGCCAGATTCAGCTTGAAATCGCATTTCGGGTGGCTGTAATGGATGTGGGTATTAAAGCAGATCCATTTGTTGCAGGAGCGCTTGTTGCTGTCGGTGCTGCCTCGTCATGTGGCCATGGAGATGAAGGACGACATTGCGGGCCAGCCACGTGACACACAGTTCCATAAGATATACATCCAGCGGCACGAGAACGTCAGGTGAGTGGACGCGAAGGTGGGCGGGGTGGGCGAATTTATTTGCATGCAAAGTCAATAAATTGCTCGGCTGAGAGTCTCTGAATGTCTGAATGTCTGAGCGTGTAACGCGAGCAATGAATTTGTATGCAAAGCCAAAAAGGAGCCAAACCAAATGCACAGCGCCACGCACACAGTGGCAAAGGCACACGCACACAGGACTAACACACACACACACAACGGTAGTCAACCAAGCATAATAAAGCATACTTTGAGGCGCACCTGTTTGAGCCAAAAATGTCCTGCGTCTGTCGCTTTTTGTTCGCTTTCTCTCTAAAGGAGTTGCTGGGATTTGTGTTCCAAGTTGTCAAGGGGGAAAATGTGAAAAACAGCTGGGGAGATAAAGAAAAGTTATCTAGAACGTGAACGTCTTTAGGTTTTCAAATAGAAATTCAGGTGAAATTCTAAGCAGCCTCACAAATTTTAAGGGAAAAAGAACTAGCAATGCCTTATTCCTGAATTCAAGTGTCTAGTTTACATTATAGATTTAAAAGAATTCTAGATAGTAGAAATTCAGCTGAAACTCGAAGAATTCACACAACAAATTTTGGAAAAAAAACTAGCTATGTGTAATTCTTGAATTCAAATGTCTAGTTTAATTTACAGATCAATACGTCTCCGAGAAGCATGATAAAAAACTACAAATTTTAATAATGTCTTGAATTTTCTCTTGCCCATAAATAATATTAGAGTATTCCTGCCGTCAGCTTTCATAACAGACTTCCATTGTTACTTTACTTTATGTTTACCCTCCCAAACTTTACCTCAACCATTTTGTATTAAATTACGCGCTGAGCCGACTAAGCCCTTCTCAGTTACGAGTCGTAAAATCAGCAAAAGCGAAACAAGTGGCCGTGCTAACGTGGCTCTGTCAACACATGGCCATGTCGTATAGGCCAAGAGAAACGTGAAAAGGATTTAACATCGTTAGATTTAGGAAAATAAATAACCGACACATAATTTAGGCTGAAATAAAGGGGGAATAATATTATCCAGAAGGCGGAAGCTAAAAGAGTTTTTGAGGGAAAAAGTATGTGGGATGGGAATATATTAAACATTCCTGTTGCTTTAAGTAAACTCTCTAGGATGTTTTCTTCATTTTTTTAAAGAAAATATCTCACAACGTAAGTAACAGGACATTGTTTTTGCTCAAAGGCAAATATTAACTTCAACAATTTAACGTTTCAGCAAAAAGCAACCACGTTTTATTATTTTTTCACACAGAAAAAATATGAATAAAAGTCGTATATTTGGTTTGAAACCCAATAACGCTTCCGACGTACTTCTAAATTCGGAATGCAACAATATTTTCTGTGTACAGCTTTTCCGTCGCCTGAATCCTTCCTTCATCTCAAATTTCCCTTTTCCACTTTTCCAGCATCCTTTTTGCGGACATTTGCGGTTTCACCAGCCTCTCGGATCAGTGCACCGCCGAGGAATTGGTGCGTCTGCTGAACGAGCTCTTTGCCCGGTGAGTATTCGGAATGGGTAGTGGATGTGCCATCTGAATGGACCAGTTGGAAGGGCCAAGGTTTGTAGCCATAATTAATGGCAAACAGTTCATACACTTGGCAAAAAAAGAGGGCGACTACAAATGGTTTATGATTAAGGGTGCAAGACATTCTAGCCTATGAATCCATCCGAATTTATTCCTACATTAGCTGACAAATAATGTGATTTATTAATAATGCCAATATTAATTAATATTAAAATATTAATTCTTACCAAATTCAGCGCTAGTCTATGTATATTTAACCTTGATAATGTATCTACCAGGTGAAATGTTTTTTTCGCAGTGCCCTTCTATCTGTCTGGGTCCCTGTCTTATTCATGAAATTGAAACCCAGACAGAGCCTGTGGCTGTATTAATTGCTCCAAGTGAACGAAGGAAAACTGACCTCGGGGCAAACAAATAAAGCTGCTGACCTCTTTGTAAACGAGCCGAGGCATTAGTAACAAGTTGGTTTTATGGCTGAAGATAAGATAAAGTTAAAGAATGTGGAAAGGGGTAATAATAGAGGTTCTTAAACCTCTTGACCTTTTAGAGATATTAATTTTCAATAATATTTCGTGGTTAATTTGGTAAAAGAGTAGCCAAAATAAACGAGCTGTTTGACCTTTAAAGGCAGATGTAATCAAAATCAGAAACCTTTATTAATTGGAAGCTATTGATATCAGGAAAGAATAGGCCAAATTTGGTTCATTTTAATTGGGTCTCCATTAATTGGAAAGGCTACCCATTGGTAACCCTTTTATTTCCTTTGTGTAGGGCTTAAATTCTTTAAAATATACCGAGATGTGTGATATGATGTGTGTCGCTTATTGTTGTGTTCTGTGCCGATTTTCCTGTCCATTTTCCAACTTCTTCGTTTCCACTTTTCCACCGCCATTGCAGCTTTGATCGATTGGCTGCGGAGCATCATTGTCTGCGCATTAAGCTGCTGGGCGATTGTTACTACTGCGTCTCCGGGCTGCCAGAACCCCGACCGGATCACGCCCATTGTGCCGTCGAAATGGGACTCGATATGATTGACGCCATCGCGTGAGTATCCGTATCTGCAAGCAGAAACACAAAGGAAAACTCCTGTTTTGCGGCCTTGTTGTGGCGACACAGGGAGAAAAGTGTTTAAATAAATGTGTCCCAAAATAAATGTACCCATTAACTTGAAAATAAAATCTAGAAAGTATTTTTTCAGTTAGTATTAATAATTTAATTGATTTATTTAGGATGCTTGAGAATATGTAGAGAATACATAGAAGCAAAACACTCACTCGATAGATATTTTAATTACCTTTTAATTTTTTAAATTAGTAAATATCATATTAATAAAAATGTGCAATTTTTAAAAAATGCCTGAAATAATTTTAGTTTAATAATAATATTTTTGCAATTGCACCCAATACAATGCCCCTTTGTTTTCTGCTCCCTTCTCATTTTGCAGCCTGGTCCGCGAGGTTATGGCCGTGAATGTGAACATGCGAGTGGGCATCCACACAGGACGGGTGCACTGCGGCGTTTTGGGCCTGGTCAAGTGGCAGTTCGACGTCTGGTCCAACGACGTAACGCTGGCCAACCACATGGAGAGCGGCGGGATTCCCGGGTGAGTGTGCCACCTCTAAGCCCCTCTAATCGTCTAGCTGAAATTAATTGATCTGGCGTCTTTGGCTGTCATCGGCTGACACTTCAAAAGTGTCCATTGTCTTGGGAGTTTCGTGGGTGGGGAAATCCCAGGAAATCCTGGGAAATTCGCTTCAACTCAATTCATTCTGCTGCCATTCCCCTGGCAAATTCAATTTCATTCTGCCAGCAAATCCAATTCAATCCATTGAAAGTCCCGTTTCGGTCAGTTTGAGCCACTTCTGGCGACAGCTGTGAATAATGGCTGTGCAGGAGGGAATGTATCTCGTAATATCCTCCGTCCCCCGAAAATGCTGGCCAATAAAGGCTGAGGGGAACAATTAAAGCCAACTTGTTGTGGCGGCCCAGAAGTTGTATTGTGTGAAGTTCCTCCCATAAAGGCACTTGAAAGTCCAAAAGTGTCGTCGCTTTGCGGTTGTCCTTCGTCCTTCGTCCTTCGATCCAAGGGTGTGCCTCTCCATTGTGGTCTTAATCGTTGTAATTGCCATACACACACATAGTACATAGAGTATTTTGCGTGCGTCTTGTGGTTAACTGAAGGCGTCAAGTTATTGGTAACTTACGAGTGCCTGCCGACCCCCTTTTAAAATAGCCACCCCTCCCTGGGCAAATAGCCCACCCAATCGATTATGGGCCACAACTTGCATGCCACGCCCACGCCACCCACTTCGCCCACTACTGATAAGTGCCCCACAACAATATTTTGTTGCTGTTGATTCAGCTGCACTCACTTCAACACTTGAGCAATTTGTTTCTGCTCGCATACCCCTGACATCAGAAGTTCAGGTTGGCGAAGGTATATCAGGCTATTTGGTTCAATAAAGATCGTTCAGAATATTTTAGATAACTTGAAAGTATATAAGAATAAACTTTTCTTACCTTTACTACTCCCTATATATAAATTTAATCATCTATATAATTTTTAAGTATCAAGATTATTATGAAATTTTAAAGACCTGTTTGCAGGACATAAAGTATAATACTAAATATCTTATATTTCATATCAAGATTTCGCAATCTATTTTAGATATAGAAAATTAAAAGGTTTTAGTAAATTCTATGATATATTAAATTTGGTCAACGTTTTAAAATGTAAGGTATATTTTATTCCTAGAATGCTAATGCATTGAATTTTTGGCTCCTAGCTTTTTGATAGTACTTCTTTATAGATAACAATAATAGATAACAAAGGGTCGAAGTACTCGTCTACTTACAATTTTCCCCGCTACGAGCTTCTTCTGCTTTCCTTCTGCATTTTCCTTCTGTGTTGGTTTTTTGCGAATATTCACGCTGCGACTTTGGGTGGAAGTTTAAGTAACTGTTGAGTTTATTTGGGTCAGCCGGGCGACGGCAGCTCGTTTGTTAGCCCTGTCCCGGGTGAAATTAAAAGCAAATAGCTGCAGTGGGTGTTGGCCAAAACCCAAGCCCAAAGCCCGAGCTCCAACCTGATAAGCTGCAATTTCAGCCGAGAGTTGAGCGAGCGTGGCATGTAAAAAGTTCGTTAGCAGCAGAAGGAAGTTGCCTCGGGGAATGTGGACTACAGCAATCCATAACAAAGCGTCGTGTAATTATCAATAGAATCAACAACAGGCAGTTTCTTGGCAGCCAAGCGATGCCAAAGGATGCCAGGAAGCCAGAAACAGGAGCATCTGTGTCGGGTTTTCGCCTCCTCAGCAGCCAAGAACAGCATTAAAAACTATTTTGCAAGCTCGGAAAAATCAGGGGAAAGGGAAAAATGCAGACAGTTTAAATGTGGGCGTGGAAAATGGGTTGTTAGGCATTTAATGCGAGTGTTTCCTGTGGTTAACTGCATTTTCCGAGCTACAGAGACAACTAAAAACCCTAAGCCGATAAGGATAATCACTAGAATGTGTCCTCTATTCTACTCTACATTTTTCCAGACGCGTTCACATAACCAAGGAGACTCTCAAGTGTCTGGATGGCGATTACGAAGTGGAGGTCGGCAAGGGTAACGAACGCAATTCGTATCTCAAGGATCATCAGATAGAAACGTACCTGATTGTGCCGGGGGACATTTACAGGCCGGTGAGTTAACCCTTTTCACTAATTGATGAGGTTACTTAAATGGGAAACGCATATTTAATTTCCAGCACAAAAAGTCTCGGAATCGCCTGCAGGTCAATGGCAATATTTCCAAGGAACTGCGCATGATGGGCCATGGAACGGCCCAGAAGCACACATCCAAGTAGGACTTTTATTAATCAATTTTTGTTTGCTTTTTTTAAGTTTTAATTATATTTTTACTTTTCTGAAGATTTGGCTTTGGCGACAGTTCGGAGAGCACCAAGGATCCCGAGGACGAGGTAAACGAGTATCTAATGCGAGCCATCGATGCCCGCAGCATTGATCATTTGAGGGCCGAGCACTGTCAATCTCTGCTGCTTTGCTTCAAGGATAATGTGCTGGAAAGAAAGGTAAATGTCTAACTTTTTTTAGAATTTTTAAAGGTGAAAATATATAGATTATTATATTTTTTAATAATTTTTCAAAATTTAATTTAGTAGTCTCTTTAGTAGGTATATTATAATTAATTTGGTTAACGAATAATATTTGCTTTTATGTTATCTTATTTCTTAATTATTTTTATTATTTATTTTTTTCTTAATATTAAGTTAAAGTACATCCCTTAAAAAAGCTTTTAAGACTGCTTTAATGCCTGTTCTAAGCATAAAAAGTTATTTACATTCCTTGGTTTATGCTTCTCGATGGCCAAAGTAAAAACAAGGACCGAATACTTATTTCTGGGCTATTGTGCTGCCCTCCACCAGTCAACAAATATACATAATGTATATCTAAGCCGTGCTTTTACCACTCTGTTTTTCAGTACGCCAGCGAACCGGATCGCATGTTGTGTGTTTACTTCTACTGCAGTCTGTTGGTTTTGCTCGGCACCAGCATAATGCGGCTGGTGGTGTTCCAGAGGTAAGTTGGTGGGGATTGGGATTGGGATTGGCCTTTTGAATGCGACAGGAGAAGGGGTATGATTTTTTGGGGCGTCCAAGCGAGGCGCTGTTATAAACCTCAACATATATGCATGGCCGCCGGCCCCTCAACTCTTTTGCATACACCACTGCGTATACGTGTTGCCGAAAAAGTTGCTACCCATTTAAATTGGCATTCCGCTCCTCCATTCCATTCCAGCTCCCTGCTGATTTTGGCCTTGTCCACGGGCGCTCTGCTGCTGCTCGGGCTCCTGGTATTTCTGGTGGCATGTCATAAAATCAACTTTCAGGTGAGCACACACAAAGAGTTTGGGGGGGAGAATGTTGACATCCTGCATTTTTCATTCGGCGGAATGCCAAACTTTTTAGCTGCCATCGGACATCAAACGCTTCTCATTGCGCATTCATAGCAATCGCAGGATATCGCAGTTTTTCGCCTTTGCGAGTGTCGCCCTGATAGTCCTCACCACTCTGTTGGCCATGGTGAGTGTACATATTTTAATCGCCGATTACCCGCTGTCTGTATTAATTGCCTGGCCCTATAAAATGCCATAAATATTTAAGTGCAGTTCAAAAGGACCAAGCAAAATGGTTTTAATTTAATTGTGAGCGACTTTTTAAGTGCCTTTAACAATAAAAAATATAAATAATAGGGAATAAATTATTCATTGTATTACTTTAATAAGAGGTTTTTTATTGAATATATTAAAATAAATATGGGCACTTCCAAAAAAAAGTCCACCAAGCCAAAAACCTTGAAACTTGAATAAAACATATTTCCACATGATTTTGCCCCGATATTAGTTTCTAATTAGTTGGATACTGAGCTTAACTACAAATTTGGGGTATAGTTTGATTATTTTTATGACAAACCCCACCAATATACGCAAAAATCAGTTTTTGGCTATTTTTTTGTTATTTTTTGGACCTGTCTTCTGTTGTAAATTTATCCTATAGGAATGCTAATATGTGACATTTTTCTGTACTGAATGCTTCATTCACATGCTAAACTATTAAGTTAAAAGCAAAACATCCAGCAATTGAGAGATAGAGGTAAAGAAATCCGCTTTACAAAACAGTCGGAAAAAATGTCCCGAGCGACATGTCCCGAGCGAATGTGGTTGAAACTGCATAAAAAAAAAACGGCAAAGAATTTTAGAGTAAAACCAAAACCATTTCATAGCGACATGTTTGAACGACATTCTAAAAAAAATCGCATTCAAATATTCCATCAGAATTAGCTAATTTCTGGTGTTGTATGAACTTCCCCGAAATCCACTTCTATTTTTGTCCCGAGCGAATACGGCAGTTTTTTACCGATATCTTAAAAACTAAAAGTGGTACAAAATTAAGATTTTTACCAAAAATAGAGCTTGGAAAGAGTGAAAAGAAAAGCCCATAATTAAAATTAAAATCCATTGTTTTACAATTTTTTTTCAACTTTAAAGGTGTGCAAATGTCCCGAGCGACATTTTGGAAGTGCCCATATACATTTTAATTTGTCTTTCTAGCTTACAATATTATACAATTTTAGTTTGTTGCTTTCACACTTTTAAAATTTATTTTCATCCATATTTGCTTTAATGTATTCACAGCCATTTAAATATAAATCACAATTTGTTCTCCACCTCCAGTGGATGTGATAAAATTCAGTAGTATTTGTCAAATAATTTTGTTGGCTTTCTATTTATGTCAAAAAAGTTATTTTCGCTTCGACACACACGATTTTTCGTTGACTTTAATGCGACACACGCTGCGTATGCGCAACAAATGCGCAAACAGAATGGTCTAACATTACGCTTCCATAGACCGGAGTTTTGGGATGATTTCCATCTCCAACGTTTATGTACCGAAATAAGGAATGGATCCTAACTGCCTTGAGGCCATTATCCCTCTGTTTTTGGGGCATCCCAAGTTCTTTTTTCGATTTGTTTTTTAGCCTTCATTTGTTGTGCATTTGTGTGAGCTCAGGGCAAAAGTTTCCGACTAGAAATTCCGGGGGTGGCGACCTCTTAGAGGGAATAAAAATAAAATTTACGTTTTGTAGTCCAAACAAAATCGGGGGCGCGCTTGTTGCGTTCTCCGTCGATGTTGGTTGTTTTGTTTGGGGCGCGTCAAAACAAAAGTTTTTCCATTAAAGTTCGGCATTGGCCAAGAACATCGAGAACCACACGGCAACGAGGCATGGAGGCATCGAGGGGCGACGACTGAATCCTGGCCCCAGGACCTGGCTCGCATGATGAAGTGAGAGGTGGCTTTATGGGCAACTTGTTACCTGCCCCATGGCTTTTGTCTGCAGCCAGTCTCGGGCCACGAGTTCTTTGACATTTCGTTGTCACTTTTCCGTTTGTTTCGGGCCGCGTTTTAATGGCACTTTAAGAGGCATTCGTATTCATTTTGGGCCGCACTTAATGGCCAATCTCGCAGGAACCGCACTACACAGGGACAGGACCTGTTGGATGCTCGTTAAAATCTGCCGCAGATCGTTAAACTTGTCTAATGCGTATTTCATGGCCGCACAGCTAATTAGCCATGCTCTCCATAGTTTCAGGAATCCTCCCGCCAACTGGAGTTGCTCCAGAGGAAGCGCTTTTGGCTGGACGTAAACGAGGCTGTGAGTCTGAATGCCACGGAGTTCAACACGGAGATATATGCCCCCGAGGAACCCGAGTGCGATTTCTATCTGGCCTACAATGTGAGTGAGTTCGCAGGGGAAAGTGAATGCATATATGGAACATGGTATATAGGCTATATATCTTCTGGAATAGCTATTTGAAAGTCCTGATAAAGATTAAATGTTTTACTAAATATTTTTGTCACTTTCTTTAGGATTTTAAATATTTTAAATATTTTAAACATTTTAAGCAAATTGTCTTACAGTTTTTTTCATAAAATAATATTTATAAAAAAAATTTGGAAAGTTCACCAAAAACCTGGTGTTTTTCTGTGCTCCAAAAGTTGTAACTGATTCTGAAAATCATTTTTTGAAGAATACCATTTAATATTTGGTTATTAATATAAATATTCAGTTGTCTAAAAATATCAGTTTAACTCTGTTCAGATGACATGTTCAAGTGCTAACATTTGTAGCGCTTATTGCCCTTATGACAGAATTGTTGTGGGTTTTTTTTCCGCGTGGGCGGGCCTTGAATATATAATTCCCTGATTCCCCCGTCGCCCACAGACGTTCCTCCTGCTCACGCTGCTCTCGATGATGAGCTGTGCCACCTACCAAGTGCTGCGGATCCTGCTGAAGCTGCTGCTGCTCCTCCTGGCCTCCGGCAGCTACATGGCCTGCTCCACCTACTTGTACTCGCGCAGCCGGGAAATAAGCCAGGAGTTGGCGTAAGTATGGCATTCCGCATTCAGCGCCGCAGCTGCTCTATCTCTGAATGAAAACGAATTATGGCGTAATGCAATTTCGCTGGGGCTCAGTGGGTTAAAGGGGGGAAGCGAGCACCAGCTGAAATGCATTTACGGCAGCCGCAAACTGCATTAAAATTGTATTTAGCACCAACTCTGAATACAGCTGGATTCATTTATCAACTGCCGCAGTAACTTCTCTTGTTCGTTTCTGTCCTTGCCGCCGTATTACCCTTTAATGGACCGGAATAACTTTGTCATTGTCGCCATTTCGGGACGACTGCACCTTTTCTCGCCGTCTGGCCAATGGAAACAGGAACGAGGAGGCCCTGCTGCGCTACATAATTGATTCCATATTCCTGTTCGCCTTTATGCTGGCCCTGATTTTCCACAGCCACCAGACGGAGGCCACTTACCGCCTGGACTTTATTTGGAAGCTGCAGGCCACGGGTGAGACAAGTTTAATTATGCTTAGTTGTGGAGTGGAAAGTGCGCAAAGGAAATTAGGTGGACAAAGGGTGCTAATGGCAGCCAAGTCAAAGTTTCCGACTTGGGAAAATGTTTAAAACAAGTTTAGACGGTCAAAGAGAATAGTTGGCACTACTTTTTAAAATGCTTTCTATGCAAGGTTGGCTTGTATATTCTTCAAACTTATTAAGTTCAACTAATATTTCACATTTATCAGTTTACTTTTAATAAAATTATAGTCCCAACTAATTGGAAACTAAGTAAAAATAGTTTTACTTACATTGTATACTAGAATTTTTTGTTAATTTAAATTATATTTTAAATTATATTTTGATTGTTTTCATCTTTTTTTAATTTGGGTAAACTTTTTAAAGAACCGTTTTTTTTAATTCCGTTTCAATGTTTGAACGGCTTTAGTATTTTCAAAATAAACTATTTTTAACAACAAACTTTTTAGCATTGCAAAATACCAAACCTTATTTATGTTAAAACTTAATGGCTTGCCAACTTTGAATATCAAGTATACGCACAGTTGCAAGTAATCCCCGAAAATCACAAACGTATTTTTGGCAAATTCCTCGTACAGCCAACAGAAGCCCCTCAAATTATTGTGCTGATTAAAATTCGAGAGTTGGAAAGTTTCGAGCCGTTTTCCTTCATTCATGACGTCTCTTTTTCCGTTTGACACACTGTCAGTGATTTGAAATGATTCCCTCTGAGGAAAAGCGACTGAGGGATTGGGAAAACTTTCAGCGCATAAGCCACTTCATTAGTATTAGTGCACAATTGCACTTCCCTCCACTCACACAGACACACACCCACTCAAAGGCATTTTCCCCCGCTTTTCCCATTTTGGGCAATGGCAATGTGTTTTGAGCTCTGTGCTTTCTCTTTTGGCGCTTTTACTTTCCGCTTCGGTAAACTGATAAACTGATATTTCAATTTCACGCTTATGTTTTTTGCCCTCTTTTCTGGGCTTCCGCCGTTGTTTTTTTCTCGTTTATTTCGCAGAGGAAAAGGAGGATATGGAGCACCTGCAGGCTTATAACCGTAAACTGCTCGAAAACATTCTGCCCGTTCACGTAGCCGAACATTTTCTGAGCCGCGAAAAGCACCTTGACGTGAGTATACAAATGCACTAACAAATGCCATTAAATAGAGCCATGGCCAAAATAAAGACACTAAATATTATCTCAACACTGGCTTGTTTTCGTAGGCTTATATAGTAGCTAAACATGGCGTACCTAATTAAAAATGATATAATAATAGCTTTAGTACTTATCGAAATAAAAAAGAAATCATTATAAAATGTTTATAAATATACATTAAATACAAATATTTTAATATTATTAAGAAAAGTATTGTAGAGGGTTTCTATGAACTGGAGTACCAAATAATTTTAAATATAACATTTTACTGGTTTCTTGGCAAAAACTGTAATGCAAGTTAAATATGTAATCAAGAATTAGTAAATTTGCATAGCCATTATGCTGAGCACCACTGTACGTACCGACTTCGACCTTATAGTGGTCATATATTCATGAGCCATGCAGGCAAACTGTTCAACATATTAAAAAACTTTGTGGCTGTGAAATCTGCGCCAAATGTTGAGCAGCATGAGGAGGTGAAGGTCCGGGAATGAGTTGGTGGTGAAGGATTCAGATTGGCGAAAAGTCCTGGTAGTTGGAAAGAGGGGTTTTCGGACGGGGACAGGGAACTGTGATGTGACCACGTGTATGTGGCCTGAAAACATTTCACTGCACTTGCCGCAAGGTGGAAAGTCAGGGGGCATGTGCACTTTCGGAGGCGAGGCAGCGTGGCAGCCTCCCGCATTAAATGCAAATTCAACAAGCTTAGCAGCCAGCCGCATTTGATGGCCAACGAGCAGCCACTTTGGCAGCGGGACAAAAGCCAATGGGCTCAACTTGAGCCGGGCAAACAGAACCACACTGAGCAAATGTTAGATTTGGAATTTTAATTATATTTTATTTGCTTAATCCAGCGCTAGCTTTATGATATACTTGAATACTTATGGGTGTAAAATATTAAAATATTACCAATTATTACTTGAAGATAATTTTTATATAAGCTAGGACATGAAAAACTATCCTCAGGAACAAATTGTGTTTTTTATAAATTATAAAGAAATAAAGAAATTAAATAATATATTTCAGAAAATCCTAATGTTGTCCTTTTGTTGTCCCAATTTTACACAAGGTTATTTGATTTCTTTCTACCTTATGTATTCTATAATTATTCCACCTCAGTGCACAGCCATAAACAGATGCAAGAAACTCTACAGCCCAGAATCTAATTGAATTTTCGATTTGCTTTGTTGCAGGACCTTTACCACGAGCAATGCGACTCGGTGTGCATTTTGTTCGCCAGCATTCCCAACTTTTCCGAGTTCTACGTGGAACTGGAGGGCAACAACGAGGGCGTGGAGTGCCTGCGACTGCTCAACGAGATTATCGCCGACTTCGACGAGCTGCTCAGCGAGGAGCGCTTCCGGTGAGTCCTCATCCGCTTCCCCTTCCTGGCCTAAACGGTTTTAACCACTTTGCGGGTTGGTCCATTTCCGGCCCCTCTCCTTCCACCGGCAGCTGCATCGAGAAAATCAAGAGCACGGGCGCCACTTACATGGCCGCATCCGGATTGACGGCGAACACCTGCGACCGGGTGAACTTCAGCCACGTGACCGCCATGGCCGACTACGCCCTCCAGCTGTTCGACAAGATCGAGGAGGTCAACATGCACTCCTTCAACAACTTTCGGATGCGAATAGGTGGGAAAATCTATCTTTGCCTTTTTCATTCTCCTGCAGATACAATGGGAAATATAATTTACTAATGCGGTTATTCCACTACATTGGTCGGCTCATTCATTAAAACAATTTTTTCTCAGCCTATACGATTTTACGTAGGTGCGAGCAAGACAGATATATGTCAGCTGCAATGAGCAATTAATGAGCAAAATTTAAAAAACCGAAGGCCACCATTTTATTTTTTTTTGTATGAGCAAAATTGAATCTAAAAAGTACAATTTTGCTCATTTATTAGAGCTACTGTAAATCGGATCTTGCTCGCACCTACGTAAAATCGTATGGGCTGAGAAAAAATTGCCCTAATGAATGATCCGAACGATGTAGTGGAATAACCGCATAACCAGGAATACTTATTTTGATTTATTTTGGAATTTAGAAAAATTTAATTTTTATTATAATACGAATTATATTTACAAATTTGTTTTAATTTTGGAATGGCATCAAGACCTCTGTGTACACTACTAATTTTCCTCAGTGCCTTAGCTTCGTCCCAACTTTCACCACATTTTATTTGCTGTTTTCGTATTTGCAGGGATTAATATTGGTCCTGTGGTGGCTGGGGTCATTGGAGCCTGCAAGCCGCAATATGACATTTGGGGCAATGCCGTCAACGTGGCCTCGCGAATGGACTCCACAGGTCTCGTGGATCACATCCAGGTGAGTCTTGATTAAATCATCGGCTAATCGCGGGCACTCAGGTGGACTTTATGCCGCCCTACAAAGTTTTCGCCTGTAGCGAATCACGAGATATTCGTGCTTTCGAAAGTTTTTGGAAAGGGCTGAATGGCTGCCACGCCCACCTAATCAATGGCCACCTGGGCTGACCACTTCAGTGACAAAGTTTTTAGTGTCAACGAAAACTTTTTTCGAAGCAGACACAAAAAAGGGCACAGGTACACAAGTACTGATAAAGATATTCAAGAATTAGGGTGGACCCGTTTTTCAAAAAAAGAATTAAAGAATTAAAATATTATTTCATGGATAATTTGTCTTATAATTTATTTAGCTTTTTTGTGTTATATATCAAAATATTACACTCGAATAAAAAAACAAAAAAAAAATTCACAAACTTTAGACAAAAATTAACCACATTTTCTACCGTCCACAAAGATAATAATCTTAATTACATCCTCTTTACTTAGCCTATATAGGCTAGATAGTAATTTTGTTTAATGGGAACATAATGGTCCACCCTAATATAGTAATGTGGGGGAGTACAGATACAGATAAAAATGCGCATTTGATTTTATTTGCCGTGCTTCGATGCTGTCAATAAAACGAAGAAAAAGGCGAAGTAAATTTGCAAAGGAAATAAATTATTAAGCGGGCGTCGCTCGGGGGGATTGGGGATTGGAGGATTGGAGGAGCGAGGACGCAGTGGAGTCCTGGGTGTTATCATGAAATATGTAGCCACGGGTGAGCGGGTGAATCAATAAAAGCCGAGCCAGCTCCCACAGCCATTGAACTTGTCAGCCGGAATTTATGCTATCGCTTGTTCCCTGCCTCTCTCTTTTTTTCCACCTGTCCAGGTGACTCAGGAGATGCAGCAGATTCTCGAGGGGCGCGGCTTCGAGCTCACCTGTCGCGGCAGCGTGGATGTGAAGGGCAAGGGCTCCATGATCACCTACTTCCTGAAGGGCAAGAAGCCCATCGAGGTGAAGGAGGACCTGGCCAAGGCCGAGATTGAGCCGCCCAAGACCTTGACTTTGGTCTCCAAGGAGCCGGAGAAGTTGGCGGGGCAGCCGCAGGAGCAGACCAAGGAGGACTCTGTGGAGCAGGAGGACGACGATTTGCTGCCCTCGCCGGACATCGACATGAACTCCAATATGCAGAATCTGACGGCGCAGCGGAGGAAGTCCCTCTGCCGACAGCACAACATATCCTCCTCCTTCGGCACTACGGTGAGCAGTTCCACAGGTATCACGCCCAGCATTTCGAACAGCTCCAGTGTGGTGACCATCGGCGCCCTGCCCGCCATCCTGCGAGGCGGTAATCCCAGCTCGAATCCCAATCCCACGGCCACCGACAGTTGCTCGGAGTGCGGAGGAGCCAGCAAGTCCCTGGCCACGCCCACTGCTCAGCCCAGGACACTGGTGGCCGAACTCAAGGACGAGATAGCCCGCGACGAGAAGATGGGCCTGAAGGACTCCATTGAGAATCTGGAGATTCTGCTGAAGAACAACATCAGCCTGTCGGATCTGAGCAACAAGCAGCAGCAGAATCTCCGCGGTGAGACGAGCAGTTCGACCACCACCACGCTGCGGAAGAGGGACACCATTGTGAGCTTCAATGTGACGGAGACGGTGACCACCACGGCCACGCCCTACTCCTCCTCCTCGGGCTCGTCCAACTCGTCGGCGCAGCCGAAGAAGCGCCGCTCGGTGACCACCATTGCGGCCAGTTTCACCACTTCGACCACCACCACGCGACTGCTGTCCAACGAGAGCCAGAGCTCCACGCAGACGGCGCCGGGAACCCTGGAGAGCGGCGGCGGCGGCGGCGGCGGCTCCTCCTCGATGCCCGGCCAATCCTCCACGGAGAACTCGTCGCAGGACTGGCAGCCCCGCACCGCCTCCCTGGAACCCAATCGCAGCCCCATCAAGACCTCGCAGTCCATGAGCCCCATCGGCCAGCTGACCACCGAGGTCTTTGTCCTGCCCAACAGCCGGAGCATGGTGCTCATCAGCAGCAGCAGCGCGAACGGTTTGGGTTCCGGAATGGGTGGCGGGGGCAGTAGCCCGAGGGCAGGACTCCTCCAGGATGTCAGCACGTAGAGGATGCGCAGGCAGCCGTGTAAATATGTACAAAACCGCCGGCACTTAGCTGAGGCCTAGGTTCCTCTAAGTAGTAGCAGTAACACTAAAGGTAAGGGTAAGGTAAGGATAAAGGTAAGGATAAAGTAAGGAATGTGGTAAGGATAAGGAGGGGTAGCTTGATGATTGATTGGGCCTGCCAGTATTTAGTACAGTCGAACTGCTGAAGCTGGATACTAAATCACAACAATCTGTAAACAAATAAAATGTTGTCTTAAAAATATTCAATACAAATATCTAAATAAAAAAATATTTAACCATATTAACTATATTTAATTTAAATAAATTATTTTAAAAAATCTCTGATTCATCTGCTTTCGTTGCTTAAATTCATACGTTTCATTACAATACCCTAAATATATTCAATATAAAAATGAAATATCATTAAACTAATTTAAATTTCCTATAGAATAAACAAATAAACAAGACATTTTATTTCAAATAAATGTGTATTATAAAACACCAAATAATTTTTCCAAATATAAAATCAACACTATATTTTGGTATTATTTATTTGCTTGCCAAACATGCTCAAAAATTAATCCTTTTATCAAAGTTCCGTGCTACAGAAGTTCGACTCTACTCCCAGCTTTCCCCATCCCCTGTATGATCTCGCATTTATTGTAGCTTTACATGTTCCTCAGTTAGCGTTTCAGGGCACCAACAACAAAATGTAATTTCCATATCACACGTAAAACTAAAGTACGAAAGCAAAGTCTTGCACTTCAACTGGGTACCAAAGAGCATTGTTAGAACTGTTAGGTATTCGATAGGTTGTAAGTTCGGAGGAGGGTCCTTGGAAAGGAGAGTAGGTGTGTAAGGTTCCTATGTGTGTTTGCCGTAGATTGTAAATTTAAATGGTTTAAGTGTGCAAAGAAATCGAATTTAATGTTTATTGTCAAACGAATAATTAAGTACTACATGTTGTTGGGGAATGCAATTGTAAACCAAAAATTAGTTATGTTCTTTAAATCATATATGTTTATAAATAAATTCAATGGCCGTTTAAAATATTTATTTATTTCATTCTTGGAATTACGATTTTTATGAAAATATAAAATGCATGTTGCAAGTTCGATTGCATTCCCCCGAAAAACATTTTCACACCAAGCTAAGGAAACAGCTTCCAGTATAATTTCAATTAAAACAATATTCCAAGCATCACCATATCGATAAAAACGTATTTACTCCGACTTTCCATAGCTGGTCATTAACTAAAACAAAAATCTGTCAATTCAACAGCAACAATAAAACTATACTTAATTGTTGCACAAACGATATTTACTAGGAAATAAGTTCAAATGAAAGGAGTATCAAATACGAGTAATGTTAAATGTTAAATCAATATCGTTTATATGTAATGTTAAATGTGTTTCAATGTCTGTATGTCTCAATGTTGCTGAAAGCATCAACACTAAATATAATTATATTATTAAACTGGATGCAACACATATATATTATGCGTAAACAAAACGGAAAACCAAAGAAAAACAAACAAAATTCTCGCTGTGATTTCTATGAAGAAGATGAAAGGATGCATAAATTATTTTATAACCTTTTGTTACTTAGTTTTAACTCGCAAATTTTACGAAAGCCTCTCGGCCACTTTGACTACGCCTAGCTACGAACTATAATTTAACTGAGAATCAAGTATCCTATATAGTTTATACATAAGTGTATGCGTGTATTGAACTCGATGTTGATTAGCTTTGATGTTCAGTTTCAAGTTGATAATGGCAAAAACCAAAACCCAGTCAATGTAAATGTTTCATTGTGCAGTCAAAACAAGGAAAATAAAAAACAAAATGTGTTAATAAATGGCGCTATTAATTTGAAAATTCTATTCATTATTTATTGGACGAATTCATAGCTTTGTAGTTAGTCGTATTTACAGCACTCGAACTGAGGGCTCTCACAGCTTGCGGGCCCGTCGCCAAAGGCAGTAGTAGCCCAGTAAATGGAAGCCAAAATAGAGACCCACCATGGCCAGTAAATTGCGATAGACATTGCTCTCATTGAAGCTGTACTTGTCCAGAACATCTTGACCCGTGTGAAAGCAGGGCAAGTCGGCACTTTCCTGGAAGCAGGCTATAAAACAGAGATATATAACCAATCAAAATTAAAACATTTTAGTTATACTCACTAATATTCTGCACACCCGACCACTGAGCCACGGTCATAGCCTCATTGGCGTACAGCATCCAGGAGAGGAATTGGGTCCACCAAAATGCCACTGGTAAGGAGCTGCATGTAAATGTTCCCTTGATGGTTAAAGTTTCTCAAACTCGGTTTAAACACCACTCACTTCACTTGTATAAAGATACCCGAGGTGATCATGAATATGTAATCCAGCGGCACCAAGTAAGCCATTGCCAGCGGAACAGAATTGAAGGCCGTGGAGAAGAAGCAACCGCAGGCTGTGGCCACATTCATCACCAGCACCACACACATGGCAGTCACTCCGAAGGCGTAGAAGGTGGACCTCAGACCCGTTAGCCAATAGCAGATTATAACGAATATCAGGGGCTCAATTATCATTCCAGGAAGCTAACGAAAAAAAAAATTTAAAATAAATTTTATTAAAATCATTCATCAACTTACCAAGGCCAAGATATTGGCCGAATAATACTGTCCCGTGGAGTAGAGACCAGATCGGGTTTCCCTCATGAATAGGGGGAATCCCTGGGGAAATAGGTTGAGCACTGAATACATGGGATGGTAGGTATTCTCCGATATCATGATGAACAGCGCTCCCTGCACCGCCTGAACTCCCAGCTGCGATGGTTCCGTGGTGCCGGCGAAACAGGCTCCGATTATAAATGCCATGGCGATCTTTTGGATGAACCGCATCCACTGGATGGTGGGATCTCTGAGCAGCGTTAGCGACGCCCTCAGCCACACCACATGGAATCGTTTATACCAGGGTACGCCCCTGAAGGACTCCACCTCCGTGTCGAAGGGGAAGTTGCCCGATTGGGCCATATGAATCTCAAGATTCACCAGCATATCCCGCTGCTTGGCCGCCGAACTGACGGCGAACTGATCGCAAAGGTGTTGGGCGGATCTCTGGGAGGCCTGCTCGTAGCCAGGATCGGTGGCCAGGACGCCAATGAGGAAATCCGCCGGATTGTAGGCCTCCGGGCAGTAGTAACCATGATTGGCGAAGAAACTCAGGGCGTGCTGTGGGGATCCTGTGAAGGCCACTCTGCCATCGGCCAGCAGCATCACGTTGTTGAAGTTGTCAAAGAGCTGCGAACTCGGCTGGTGGATGGTGCACAGAATGGTGGTGCCCTTTTGGGCCAATTCGTACAACGTGGCCACCAGCTGTTGAGCGCTATAGGAATCCAGTCCGGTGGTGGGCTCATCGCAGAACAGGATCACCGGATTGTTGAGCAGCTCCACGGCGAAGGCCAATCGCTTGCGTTCACCCCCCGAAAGAACCTTCTTGTCATCCCCACTCCCGATTCGAGTTTGGGCTGCCGAAAGAAGTCCTGTTCGCTCTAGAAGCTCGTTGATTATCAGGCGACGCTCCTCCTTGGACACCCGACGATCCAGGCGAAGATGGGCCTGAGAAGAAAATAAGGTCGGGAAAATACAGTTGATTTCCAAAGCTATTCCTCTTACTTTAAGCTACTAATAAAGCTATCGCAGATTAGATTTAAAAGAATATTTATTTAATATTTAAAAATAAATAATACAAAAATATTAACTTTCTCTAAATTTAAAGCAAATTAATTGCCAAACATAAATTTAAATTAAAAGTCTAGAAGCTAAGGGGTCAATGTCTAGCTTTCGTTTCCTGAAAAAATATTTGTTTAGCCGATATAAGAATATAACCATTCTTAGTTGTAAATATAATATTAAAATAATTAAAGATTTGAAAAATAAATAGTTAATCATTTTTTATAAAACTTATAATTGGCCAAAAATAGAAATAAAATAGAACAAATAAATTTAAATTAAAAGTCTAGGAAACTTTAGCCTCTATGTGTAGCTTTCGTTTTCTGGCAAAATATTTGTTTAGCCGAAATAAGAATAGAATGTCAAGAAACTAAAGCATTACTATAATTTCGCAAATGCCGAGAGTCATCCAAATATGCTGCCATAGACTTTATAACGCCTCGTAAAAAATCATAAACCCCCTTCAGAGATATGCAGAGTTCTTCGCGCTTACCATAAAGTTCAAGTGCTCCAGTACAGTCAGCGAGCCGAGGAAGAGGTCATCCTGGTAGACGTAGCCGCTGATGCGGTGCATGAAGGGCCCGATGCGCCGGCCGTTTATCAGAATGTCGCCTTGAACCACGGTCCCGGCTGCAGCGCAGATCCCAATGCAAATGGAGCGGCCGGAGATAATGGTGGGGATCAGTGTAATCTTATCGGGAACTACTTGGTAGTAGGGTACAACTTACCCGGCTGTCGAAAGGCGAGCGTCGACATAAGCGTTGTTTTCCCAGAGCCACTGTGAATGGGAGATGTTTTATGAGGGGGCGAAACTTAGGGGAATCTCTGCTTATCAGAGTGAAGATAATTGTCAGTCAGAAATTAGACATCTTGACATAGTTAACACATTTTTTGGTCATCGTACATTCCACTTGAGTGCACCTGATCTCAGGTGGTGTCGATTTCCGCAGCAGCTTACCTCGAGCCCATTAAAGCCATCAGAGTGCCCGGTTGAATGGCCCCCGTGGAGTTGTTGATGATCCGCTTCATCCGTTGCCCCGATCCGCCGACATTGGTGTAAACGCATAGGTCCCTCCACACCAAGGTGGCTCCCTGCTCCGTGGGCGACCATTTGCTGTAGCTCCGGAGGGGCAAACTCCTCTCGGAACTGTTTCGTTTGGACAGCTTGGGTGTGCTGTCCAGACTGGGCACCTCGATGGTACTGCCCACCGGCATCAACTGCAGCTCGTGCTGCTCCACCGACTGCGGTGGAGCCTCCACATCGATCAGCTTGCCATCTGAGTCCGACATTATCTCTGGGTTTTATCTTGGCTATCACGGCTGAGGAGTCTGATTTTTTCTAAACTGAACTGAACCGAAGCGTGCCACAGCTGGGCAACAACTAACCAGCTAAACTCTGCTGAGAAGTTGTCACAGCCAAGTTGACAGTAAGATAGACAGGCACAGTAAGTACAAGCTAAAAGACACTCGGGTAAAGAGAACATAAATGGTAATTTAATGTTGTACCCTTGAGCTTGGGCTTATTTTTCCAAAAAGTCTTGTCCATGAGTCCCAAAATAAATACTCTTAAACATTTTATTCAAATTATATATAAGAATTAGCATAATATTAGAATTACGTTTAATAATAAATAAATTAAATTATATGGAATATATTTTTCCTAAGGGGTAGTACTCAACCCAACAAAAAGTCGTCCAAAATAAAAAACTTTATATGACAATAACGTCAAAAAATTTTGTTTCATATGAAGTTTTTTGTTTTGGACGACTTTTTGTTGGGTTGAGTACTATCCCTTAAGAGTTTCAAAATATTTTCTTTTCAAATTATATTTTAAAAATATTTTTGAAGAAATTTTAAATCATCAATTTCAAAAAAAATTTTTAAGAAGATAAGTAACTATTTTTTTAAATATTTAAAAGTTTCTTTTAAAAATATATATTAGTACAAACCTTTATAAGTACAAGAAAAACTCTTTACTTTTTTATTTTATTTATTCTTTATTATATTTCATTATATTTCCTTTTACCAATGCCTACTGTGGTGCTCAGCACCCCACTATGCAAATATGGTAAACTTGGGATCCGAGGGGCCGGGGCCCACAATCTTTAGGGTGGCCCTGGAAGCGAGCATTCGATCGTCTTGCAGTTTACCGACCGCTTGGGAAGCAGCGGACTTAGGCGGCGCGGCTCCAATTACCATTGCCAGCGGAAAATGCAATCCAGATCCAGACCAACCCACCGGGAAGCCCCGCAGCGCCAGAGTCAGCCAAGCAGCCAGCGGGAAAACCGCCGCTGCCTCGGGAAAGCTAACAACCAGATGGGAGCTAATTCTCGTCTCTGTTTTGCTACAGGCTTTCGCATTCATATTGCACAAAAGGAGACTGAGAAATTGATTCAAAAGTAAATTTCTAGTAAGCTGCAGCTGTAATTCTCACACCTTTCTATACCCATATTTTCTCAATAGTAATTTTTAATATGGTTCAAAAGTATTCAGTAAAATGATTCATAATTCTTGAAAATTATGTACACACAAGGACTCTCATTTCTGCTATTTTGTTATTCACATTTGAAGTGCATTCATGCAGTTGTAGATTCTGTCGTTTTTTAATTCAAACTAATATAGAATCTATAAACTCATTCTAAGCGATTATTTTAAAAATACTTGCACGTTTTTTTCATTCCATTAAAAAATCATTCTATTCTGTGGCGTACTTTTAGGCAGATTCTACTTTTTCTGTGGTGTAAAATATCTTAACCGTTTTAATCCACGAATAATATACAAAGTTTTGAAAATTTATAGTTATATTTTCTACAAACAAATGTAGTAATTTTTTAACAATTTTATACAAATTTTTACATTTTATTTGATCATAAAAGAATTGTACAAAATAAAAGTATATATCATTCCTCAGCACAAATTGAAATATCCAGATTTTTGAGTCAGGTTGAAAGGCGTGCAAGTCCTGAAAAAAAAGAAAAAAATTACCGATTAAAAATAAATTAAAATTATGGGAAAATCCCATTGCATACTTTAATAAATAAAGAGTAAAGGGCAATTGGAATAGTAGCTCAGATTGCATTGGAGGCCAACCGAAAACGCTCAGTATCAGCTTTTTGGCTGATAAGCCGTTTTGAGTGGACAGAGCTGCCCCTCTGGTTCTCAGTTGCCGTCGAGCTGTAAAGCGGATAAGTCGCTTCCGAGCGGTTAATAATATTTGTACCGCAACACAAAATCAGTGGAATATAAATGCAACGTAATGATGTGAAATTCGATATACAAACAAAAACCAACAGCAGCAGAATCAATTCAACTTAAATATTATTGCGCACAGAAAATCAGTTTAGTAATTGAAAACCTTGCCATTTTACTGTCGGCTGGAAACAGTTATCGCTTTAAATGGTAGGCAGTGTTGTAAATCCAAACCTAATTAGTCTATAATTAAACTTCATAACACCTTATCGGTGCGTTTAGTGTGCTATTGCACGTTTTTGATCTTGAACAGAAAGTGAGAGCTACGTGCGGTTCGATAAGAGAGTATGGGAAATCCAACAAAAAATTCCGCTAGACGGAAATTAAAATGATTTCAAAATACCGGCTCACACGTGTAAGCAATTACAAAAATTATTAAGATAAACAAACGAGCCCCATACTTAAAATCGGGAGAACAAATAATAATCTATTCACAAATTAGCAAAACAAATAGTGAGTGGCTTTTAAAATTGCTTTGCAAGTATGTGAGCAAAACAACAATCTATTGATAAGATGCAATTGTCGATTAAAATGTTGAAATTTGCTTACTAAGCGGAATAAATAACTAAGGATCTTTATTTAATCCTCAGAGCTTCGTTGAAGAAGTAAAAGGTATTGCGAACCAAACAATGATTTTTGTATGAGTGCTTAAATAGTGATATAAATTTAAAAAAAAACTAATATACCCCAAAACCTGAGGTATACGGTTAGAAGTCTAATCTGGAACAAATTTGCATAACAAAATCAGATTGAATAGCCAATTTGCCATGCAAATATTGGAAAAGTAATCTATTGATAAGCTGCCGTTGGCGGTTAAATTTTGAATTTGGAAAGCTAAGCGGCAAATAAAATTCGCGAGAGCATAAAAGCTTTGGAAACAGCCCCTGAAATCAGAGGAAACAACATATTTAACAGCGCGGGAGAGAAGGCGAGTGCGCAGAGTAAAAATGAGCGCCACAGAGGTGAGTGATTGTTTAGCCGCTAAATAGTTTGTTTTTGTTTGCGGCGCGACTAAATTTAACGCTCACGAAGGGAGAGTCAAAAACCATACAAATAAATATCTTCAACGCATTTAGTTCTTATTTTTGCAAATTAAAGAAATCACATAAATTGGAGCGTCGCGATTCGTCGAATGATTACGTATGTCAATATGATGCCAGAAAAAACGCGCAAAGCCAAACGAACAAAAACTTTAAAATCTAGCAGACGTGACCTTCAAATTCGTATTTGTTATGCGTAGTTTTTCCAATTGATTTTATGATTTGTGTTTCGTTTCGAAAAAAGTGAAATAAATACCTATAAAATTCATAAAATGTAACACGAGAAGCAGCTTATCACGTTGTTTACTAGCAATAATAAAGGTGTCACTACATGTGGTGGCAATCGTAACGATAATGTGATGGGGACTTGAGAATGCTCTGCTAAACTAATGTAAAGAAAATGTAAGAAGTTATTAAATTTTAAAAGTTTAAACTACATTGTTTTATTTTTAAAGCATAACAATTAAAAAAAAAAAAAAAAAAATCCATCGAATTGATTTAAAAAATATGCATTCAATTAAAATAAACATAACAAAATAAAGTAAATATTTAAATTTTAGTATTTTCAGTGTATCAGCAACTAGGTAGTGAACGGTTTAAGTTTTTATAACTTCTAGAAGCTATAATGTATGTTTTGTACCATATATTTGATATATTTGAGTGTATATTTGATTTGTAACCAATCTCTTCGTAGAGCATATATTTTTTTAAACGAGTTTAATAGGTCTTCAAAAACCCAGCACAGTTTGTAAACAAAAAACCGGTTGCTTGCTAAGAACAATACCATAGGAAACGAAGGGGGAGATCCCTTTTTGACAATTTGCTTAAAGGGTATCCAAGTGAGATTTATTTGTTGACAACCACAAACGATCACTGCTTTGTACGAGCTCTTAAAAAGAAGCTTTATCTGAGCTCAGCTTCCACAATCTCTTCAAAACCGATGGCATTGCCAGCACAAAAATCGTTTCGAAAACAGAATTCCAAAATCCCTTGCATACTTGCAGGCACACACCGGAAATGCCAGACGAAACAGTCGGACTAGCGAAAACAGTGGGAACAGCGCTTCCGGAGATGTTGACGAGCAGCGGGAAGAGGGCGGCGCTAGGCGCACCTTCTGGCAGTGGGCGTGGCATGTGGTCAAATCGATTTCCGTGGAGCCCACAATGTTCCTGTACATGTTCGCCTTCATGATCACCTCGGTGGTGGAGCAGAACTTCTTCCTGTACAAGTCCTGCAGGGTGAACAAGAACTTTACCGAGGAGATCTGCCGGAATCTCAACAAGCCGGAGAACAAGGAGTTCAAGGACGAAGCGCTGTTGACCAACGCCTGGTTCCTTCAGTGGGAGAACATCTCCGCCCACGTTTTCCCCATTATTTTGGCCCTTTTCCTGGGCTCATTCTCCGATCGTCGGGGCCGTAAGTTACCCCTGCTCATGGGACTGGTGGGCAAGTTCATCTACTCCTCGATGATCGTGGTCAATGCCAGGATGCCGACGTGGCCGGTGCAGAACATCATTTACTCGGCCACCTTGCCTTCGGCCTTGACCGGTGCGGATGTGGCCATTTTCGCCTCCTGCTTCGCCTACATCTCGGACATTTCCACGCTGCAGCAGCGCACCATCCGGGTGACCATTCTGGACGTGATCTACCTCAGTGCCATGCCCCTGGGCGTGGCCCTGGGATCCCATCTCTTCTACAATGTCTTCGATCAGTCCTACGCGGACATGTTCACCGTGAACGCCTCGCTGCTCTTCCTGGCCATCATCTACTCTCTGTGCGCCCTGAAGGTGAGTCTCTGCGAGTTCTAAGTCTAAATCAATACTGAATTCTTATAATTCTTATTTAAATAATTATTTATTTCTCCTATTCTCTTCATACACTAAATAAGGTAGCTTAATAATGTTATTGAAGTATCCGATATTAAATTAGTAATCCCACCTGAACAAAAAAGAAACACAATTTGAGGGATATTTTTGCACTGAGTTAATTACTCAGTAAAACTCGAAAACAAAATCATAAATTTGTACTCATAGATAAATATTACAAATAATCACTGATTTAAAGTCAGAAAATAATTGTTTTAAGATTTCAAGGAAAAGCCTTTTGAACCCTTAAAATAAATCTTACAAATAATCACTGCTTTAACTTCAGAAAATAGTTGTTTTAAGATTTCAAGGAAAAGAGAGAACACTCATCGAAGTTTAATTTATCAATCCTAGCTAGATCTTCGAGTTTTAATCTATAAAATCTATAAATTCGGTAATGTTTTTAATAAAACTTTCAGTGGCATACTATAAAATCTATAACTTCCGTAATATTCTCCCTAAAACTTTCAGTGGCAAACTATAAAATCTATAAATTCCGTAATATTCTCCCTAAAACTTTCAGTGGCAAACTATGAAATCTATAAATTCCGTAATATTATCCCTAAAACTTTCAGTGGCAAACGACGCCCAGACAGCGTTCGTTGAGGGAGCTCGGATGCTGTGGTTTCTGGGGCGACTTTTTCGACAAGCAGCACGTGAAGGACTCGTTGGCGGTTCTGGTAAAATCGCGAAGGGGCCACAGGCGCAGCTTCCTCATCATCCTGCTAATCAGCATGGCCCTGTACACCTTCCAGCGGGACGAGGGCCAGTACCTGTACATGTACACCCTGGACAAGTTCGACTGGGATGTGAGTGCGTACAGCAACTTCAAGACCTTCAAGTCGTCAGCCTACGTGATTGCCATGCTGGTGGCTGTGCCGCTGATGAATAAGGTCCTCGGTTGGAGGGATACGGTAGGTCTTAATTTTCCGATTATAGTTCTTAGAAATATTAATTGGCGGTTTAAAAATATTCATTTAATTTTTTGCAAGTTTAATTTAATATTTATCGGAATGAGAAAATGAGTTAGCTATATTTTAAATCACTTTTTCTTATTTTACTTTCCAATTTTTCACAGACCATCGTCTTTATTGGCACCTGGGCCCATTCGATAGCCCGATTGTTCTTCTATTTTGCCACCAATACGGATTTACTATATGCCGGAGCCGTGGTCTGTAGCTTGGGTCCCATTGTGGGACCCATGATCCGGGCCATGACCTCGAAAATTGTGCCCATATCGGAGCGTGGAAAAGTGTTTGCCCTGCTCTCCGTTTGCGATAATGCGGTGCCCTTTATCAGTGGAGTGTGCTATTCGCAACTCTATCGGGGCACCAAAAAAACCAATTACGGCGGCAATGTCTTTATGCTAACTATTGCCACTCAGATAGCCGTCTTTGTGATGATACTGTAAGTTATCTCCTTTGTTTTTGTTTTTCCAATTATTTTATTTATATTTCACTTTTAGTTGCATTCACATTGTGTTGGGCAAGAACTCACTGGCCGTTCCAGAAGTTCCCGAGAAGGAGAGTGGACTTATTGGTCCAAAGGAGGCCGTCTTGGTGGCGCCAACTGAAGAGGACAAAAGTTAGCCAGGCTTTTGCATATTACATTTTATGATTCCTATAAAAAAAAAGACATGAATCCATTGAAGGCAGCTATTGCATTGAAAATGTGGCCATTGGATATCAATCCCATTAACTTATCATTAATAAAAAAATATATATTTTCATATCTCTCGACTTGTTATTTACAGGTATTTGAAATGGAAAATTAAGCATTTAAGCCTAATTAAATAAATAAATAAAAATAGATATTTTTAGAAGTGATGTTTAGCCGAGCGGGATTTTGAATATTAGTTTTGGAGTTATTATTAGGTATAGCTATGATTTTTTTTACCATTTTCCATTTAAAATAATTTTCAATTCCGTTTTAAAATAATCAGTGATCGCCCCTTGAAGGTTAGCTATATCCTTAAATAATATTTGTGGTTAATAATAACCTTACCCGAATCACTTGTTCTTGGAGAGGGTGCGCTGCTTCTCCGCATGCTCCACCACCTGCTCGTCCACGAAGAGGCCCTTCCTTCGCCGGACGCTGTCCATGTAGACCTTGGCTCGGTTGGCGGAGTCCGCCTTCTCGCCGAAGTGCATCAGCTCCTCCTCGGTTGTCGGCAGCCAGAAGGGATCGATATCAATCACCTGTAAGAAGCAGAGGCAGGGTGTAAATTCCGGGAAATCATTTGGGCACTTGAGACGAGGACAAAGGAATGAGGCGTCGCTGTGTCTATGCGCCTGCGCCTCGCACTGGATTGGATTTGGGTTGGGTTCTTTGGGTTTTCTTTCGGCTGGGTCGGGGTATATCGTTTTGGGTTTTTCAGCATGGCTCTTTTGTCTCAACGCCAGGGAAAGCGTGCATTTTCACATCTTCATTGTTTGGACGGGCCTCTCGAGCTGCGACAAAGGACTCGACGCTTAATGACTTTCAAAGGACGCAGGGACACGCATTGCGCGTTACGTGATAAGGCAGACTCGCCAGGATACGCAGAAGAACGGGCCAGTTCCTCAATGGCGTGAAGAGCGTTTCCTGCGCTTGATTGATGATTGCCTCCTGCGAGGCGAACCACTTGAGAATCTCTGGTGTGAGATCTGCATTGTTTTGTTTTCCTTTTTTTCCTCTTTTCCAACAAGGACTCGAGACCCAGCGGGCGGGTGTCGAGCGGTTCGTTGGAAAAACTCAGCACTCTCCCACTCTAGAATTTGGGTTCTACTCTTTATGAATTCCCTCATCAATGAGCGAGCTTGCTCGAAAACTGATTAAGATGCTGAGGCGTTGGTCTTTTGTTAGGGAGAAACTTTTTCTTGCACAGCGAAAAAATATCAAAAATTAATAATTTAATTTTGAGTTCTGAAAATGTATGAAATATTGAAATGATGATAAGACAATCTTTCGTTTTAATTAATCGTAATCTCGTATCAAACATAACACCTTATAATATAAGGCTTATATAATAGAAACAAGTTTTTTAATATCTAGGTATCTAGTATATATAAGTCGAAGATTTGTTCCTTAATTTTTTCACAGTGCGTGTTCTGGGCCATCTGTTCGCACTACGCTAAACTGCGGGCCCTCGAACATCTTCGCAATCCCATGTAGATCATTATCGGGCACAAAGTTTCGCTTGTTTAACAACAGCCAACAACGCCAAGTGGGCAAGGGATCGAAGGGAACAATGGGGGCAACTATAGGGAGCCACGCAGTAGTCCTCGACAAGGTAAGGCAATCCCAGTTGGCAATACCAATCCCAGTTCGCAGTTCGCAGTCCCTGTCACAACACAACAGAAACGCAAAAGCGAGACTGCCATCCTTTGGAAATGGTTCTGCGCATGCGCAGCAGCCACCAATCTTTCCATCGGTCCCCATCCCCATCCCCATTCCCATCACCATCCATACCTTCAGCTATACCCTTACCCATCCACATTCCCATTCCCAACATTCCCACTCCAAATCTCGGGCAGAAAACGCAGGAGACCCTGTGGCAGCTGAAGTGCTCCAAAAGTGCGCAGAACTTGCGTCTGAGCCGGGCCAGACAAATGAGCAGCCAGCCACCAGCAGGCAGATGAGTGCACTGCCACAAATCGGTTGGCTTAAAGGGAATTTACCTCTTAATTAAACTAAAAATCTACCTGAAATATTTATACTTTTAATTAGTTATGGTGCCGTTTTCTAGAAATTTGTCTTGGAATTAAAATTCTACAATTTTGTAACTGGCCAAAAATTTAAAATAGGTGTTTAAAATATTCTTGGGGTGAATCTAAAAATATTTGGTTCAGAAATATTCCTGAAAAGATACAAAATAAGTATTATTGGTAATCTATAAATGTAATATTAAAAGTGTCAGAAAAATACATTTTTTCAAGTTCCTAACAAGTTTAATGTACACACGGTTTGTAAAAAAGTTAATTAAATTCTATAGTAAAGGACCATTCGAACTTCGAAAGAAAAAGCATTTGACTTGGTAAACAAAATATTTACATTTTTGCCAGTGTCCTGTTGGCCAAAACCCACTTATAACATCCAAGGAAGGTGGTTATCCCCACTAATGCAGCACCACGTTCCAGATTACAGGCGATTCAAAGACTCTTTCCCCCCCCCAATCACCACCTCCACGACCACGATTCTCCCATCTTGAGGTTGAAATATTAAGAAAAATATTGGAGCGGCCGCGAAAACCAAAAGCAAACGACGTGACATCAACACACACACTTGGTATGGTCCCCTATTATATTATATGGTATGGAATGGAATGGTATATCTCTCTGTATCTCCAACTCTCTTTGCACACACGTGTTTTGTATCTGTGTGCTGCTTATGAGCGGCGCGTCTTTGTGTGAGTGAGTGTGTTTACCTGTCCAACCGCGCGCGGTTTGTATGCAGGTAATTTACGCGGCAGCTACCGAAATACGCTGAAGTCCGTCGGTCCGTCGGCCCGCTTGTCCATTTGTCCGCTTGTCCGTTTGTCCGTCCGCGACCAAGACGAAGTTGAGATTATTATCGCGCGCCAGAAACTGGCTGAAAGACTGTGAAAGAGACCGGGCCCAGAGAATATAACTCGATGCGAGTCGAGTTGATTCGAGAGACTTGGGGGCCTGGGCCTGTAAAAGTCTCCAGCGAACGGACAACGGACAAATGGACGGCGGACGGCGGACCACGATGAGCGTCATTTTGACAGCCAGCGAGCGGACAATGCAAACCACGTTCCACTTAAGAACAACAACAACGAGAGCAACAACAATCCTTTGGCCACTTGGATAAACACTTGCCTTGGCATGGATATATCCCTACACCGAGGAAAAATATTGCAAACATTTTACTTAGAAAGCGTAAAATATGAAACTGTGAGAAGTAGCACCAAATTAAAAATAAGAGAAAATTAAAAAATATTGCAAGCATTTTACTTAGAAAGGGTAAAATATAAAACTTTTTTTTTAATTGGAAAAGTTTTTGGAGTAAAGCTAGAAGATTTAGATGACTTTAAACGACTTAAAAATTAATTTTTGGAAAATGAGTTAAGTTATAAATTTGGTTCTCCTTATTTTTAATATATATTTTTAATAATAATCTGTACAAGAAATTAAATATTTAGAATTCCTGATCAATTTGCTTAAACATTTTTCGTTCAGTGTATTTGTATGTGTGTGTTTATTCGCACCAGGCAGACTTTAGGGCACTGCCATGCTCTCTCCCGCCCCCGGCCGAACTCCTCCTCCTGCTCCCTGACCCCCGCCTCCACCTCCGCCCCTGCCACTGCCTACCCCCTCCCCCTCCCCCTGCCCCTTGCCCCACTCCCAACGACTGTCTCCACCGTAGACTTTCCCTTTGGCGGGGGGAAAGGCAGACTGTGGCAGGTATACAAAACGAGTTATCAGATTATTTGTTATTTGTCTTGGTTCTTTGCTCACAGTTTGTTGAGGCCGTGGCTGTTATGCTTTTGAAGTAGTTCCAGAGTTCCAGAACTGAGGTCTTGCATGCAAAGCGCGACAAGCGGCAGGAACAACAACTGAAACACCAACAACAACCAGAACCAAATCATATGCAACAATCCGGACCAGAGGAAAACACGGAGCGGAGCGGCCTTAAAGTAAGACCAGTAGCCAAAGTTGTTATGTTTTTTTTTTATATTTTCTTTTTTTTTCGGTAGGCTGCAGGTCTTGACCCTCTTCCTGTCCCATCCCCCCGTCTCTGGCACACACACACACGTAATCATAATAACAATCTTCGTGTTCATCAAGTGGCCAGAAGAGATGAGAAGTGCTGCAGCCAGCGAGGAGGTGGAGAAAAACAAAAGGAAGCACAAAATTAAATAATAACAAAAGCGCGCAAGACAGTAGCCACCCGACGAAGAGATATTTGTCGGTTAAACAGTGCAGCTCATTGCCGTAAGGCAAAAGAAAGTGGGATTATTAAAACTATAACTTTATGATGGCTAAATATAGAAAAAGAAAAATGATACAGCTACACGTCTTTAATATGGAATTAAAGGTATAAATTTCTAGAAACTGATCTTTTGGTTTGGGGATGCTATTGGATTTTTGAAATTTGGTAAGAACTTCCCCAGAGTTATATTAAAGAATTCTTCACTTAGACTAAGATCATTGTAAAAACACTTAATTTATTAGAGAATCATATTTAAGTTTTCCACAATCCTAATAAAAATGGTACTTTATTAAATGGGCCTAAAAATTAATACAAAATCCTGTAAGATATATTCTTGGTTATAATAATGCCAAATAATTAAATTTAACCATTTGCAAAGATAAGTTCTTAGTTCTTAATAATTTAAGAGAATGTGTTAATAGTTATATTCAAATAAGGGAAATTTGTTTTATGATTATGAATTTGAAAATATGATACCACATTTTAAAATATTTAAATCATAGGACTTTATATCTATTCCTAATGAACCGCACTGTTGACTTAACTGTTGCGCTCCTGTCTGCCGTCTTAATGATGCTACGTGAAGTGAAAGAGCAACGGCAATATAACAAGAAAAATTATGATATATGAAAACTGAAAATTAGTTTTTGTTGTCTTCGGTTTCTGTTTCAGCTTGCAGGCTGCAGCTCAGATCGCAGCATTCAGATACCACGTTAAAAGGTCATCCGCAGAGATGATTTCTTGCGGCTGCTGATCTGCTGATCCGGCGATGCAGATGCTTAACGAACTTATTGTGGGCCATGATGCGGCAAGAAATGGAAATGGCTTTTTGGGAACGAGACAACTCCCCAGCCCACTTCGGGGCCCTTTTTCCCGTTTTTCCCCCGACCAGAAGTTGGCCACTCGAGTGAAGTTGACGCCTTCGTTGTTATTATGGGCACGTGACAACTGCGCCCACGGCCAAGAGCCCGGCCCACTCAACTGGCAGGTAGGGTTTACAAAAAAAATAAGAAAAAAAAAGAGGGAGGGGTTGGGTGCCAAGGGGCGGGGAGGCCACTGGCCAACACATGTGGGCGTGGACAAAGTGCTGAAGCCAACCGTTTTAATTGCTCGGGCGAAAGGTAAGCTGAAATCCTAATTGTTTTCACTTTACCTTCGCTCAGAATAATGATCGAAATTGTAATCGAATCGAATTTTTTCAGATAATTTTCCACTTGCGGTTGGCTAAACTAGTTTTTCGTTGAGTCTTTAACACAGATAGGAGTTAAGATGGAAACTCAATTCACATACAGAGAGAAAACGGCTTATAATAATGAAACATTTTAGGAGTTTTACATGAATTGATATAAACGCTATAAAAATATCAAAAAAGGCTTTTAATTTCTTATGGTGTATTTAACGAATGGAACTTTAGAAATTAATAAATAAGAGGTACTTTAGAAAGATTAAAACGCTTATCGAAGTTAGAATTAAGCCAGCTCTCCATTTTCACCCCATACTAAGTTTTAGTATTTAAGTATTGACAACAAATATGAAAATATTGTAATAAAATAAAATAACTTTATATTTGTATTTTTTAATTAACAAATCAAGTGTTTAGTTTAACGACCAGCCTGTATGTATTTTTTCTCTGTGCAATCCGACTCCCCTCCCATTTTCCCGCCCCTTTTCCACTTTTCCTGCTGTCTGGCGTTGGAAATGCGTAAGAAATTATACGAAGCAACGGCAAACAACATCTCCGTCGCCGGCAAAACTTGAGCTGAGAAATAGAAAATCGCCGGAAGTCATTATACAAAAACTTGTTGTTATCGATTGGTTGGACGATATGACCAACACCAGCACAATCACACCAATAGAGGAACTAATACCAACACAGAATGCACGCAGATTAAACATTTTTTTCGTACAGGCGAAAAAACTATTTATTTAGGTTTAGATTTATTGAAATGAAGTAAAACTATGGAAACTATCTAAAAATCTCATCTATCCATATAAACGCTTTAAACTTATGTTTGCTTGTTTCCAAATTTTACATCGTTGAAAGAAGCCATAAGTGTAAGTCTAAAGAAGGATAATCTATACATTTTATTAAATCAAACCCAATTAAAACTAAGTCATATGTTTTAAATGAGTCACATTCCAAGAAAAGGAAATTAGCTTTTAATGGAGCTCTTCATAACTTTAATGTCTAAACCAAAATTCTGTTGGCTGTGGAACTTTATTAGTGTTTTTGGCTAAACTCGGCTCATCCGCTGATGCTCTCCCATCCGTTTTAGCCAAAAGCATAAAAGCCAAAGGGAAAAAATCATCAAGTTGACTGTTAATTGTGGCCCACGACAAGGTCAGAATGCGATGGAGAAAGAAGGCGACTGGAAGAGAGAGGGAGTCTGGTTTGGGGCTTTGGGTTACCTCGAAGGGCACACAGCTGCAGCTCCAAATGGACCATATAACTTTCAGTCCAACTGTTGCTGTTGCCATGTTGCTACTGCTGCCACTGAAGTTGCTGTTGCCATGTTGCTACTGCTGCTGGCTGTGGTTTAGCTTATAAGACTTCAGCAGAAGGTAACAGAAGGCTCAGAGCAGCGTAAGCTGAGATTTTTATTGACCACAGACAGCCAGCGAGAATCTCGGGGGAGAAGGAAGGATGGATGGGAGTGGGAGGAGGAGGAGGAGGAGGATCGGGGACAGGAATAGGGGGAGTACAGTGAGGCACGCACATGGCATATGGTCGGACAGGCGCTGCACTTGTGCCCCATCATCGGCCAGGCAACAGCTGCTTCAGCAATCTCTGCCAGATACAGTCGGACTTCCATAAAAGTAATCACTTCCACGCTGAGTAAACTAATAAATAACCTACTGTACAAAAGATGAATCTTCTTTTGGTTAGAAAAAAATAATCCTGCGGTATAAGTCATCTCAGAACAAAATAAAATATTTGTCTTTATTTTAAATTTGTAATCTGATAGCAGTTTATATATGTTTTGCAACTGACTAAGTGAGTTAAACAAATGTAAAGAAAACCAGGAGTTCTCTTATGGTACGTGTCAAAATGTACAAATTACTCATGCTAGCTTTTTGACTTAAAATCTTGTTCTGAAAATATATTTTTTTCATTAGACAATAATTCGTCTACTCATTAAGTTTTTCCTTAAAAATGTATTTTAATTTTGCATTTTAGTTTTTAAACTCTAGAACCACACAAGTGCATATTTAAGTTGCTAGATTTTCTTTAGTAATCTTAAAATATAAATAAATAAAAAAAGGGCATAACAAAGAATATTTTTACAAAATATTAAGTAAAGGATTGATTTTATAAAGTATCTAGTTGTTTGACGCTTCCTACCTAAGGACGATCTGTACCTAAACTTAATAGATTTCGAAAGTTCAAGTTCCCTTGCCTTACTGTACAGTACTCACCTCCCAGTGGCTGAACATGAGCTGGGGACAGGCCAGGCCAGATGTCTGCTTTCGCATCTCCTGGGCGAAGTTGAACGACTCGATCACCGGCAGAAGACAGGTGACCGCGAAGTTGCCGCTGCCCTGGGTCAAATCGCCGGAGAGGATTTTACCGTGCCGCCGGCCAATTACCGCATACATTTTACCTGCGAATGATAGCAAAAGAGATATTTTCTTTGATCAGCTGTTGGTCGTTAGCTAGAAATCGAATTGGAAAAGGGAAAAGGGAAACGGGAAAAGGGAAACCTCCAACTAACAATGGCCGCCATTCAGTTGAAGTTCTCGGTTCTGGTTAATGCTTCTATATCGCCTGTTCTTGCTGCTGTTGTTGTTTTTGTTTCTGGCGCGTCTCAAGGTAACTCGTAAACAAATGAAATCTTATCGGGTTTGGCCCATAAAATTGGCGGGCTTTCTGCCGAACCGCGCGCGTTTTTCGCTTGAACTTCCAAGCTGGAGATGGAGATCGTTTCCAGGTCTCTCTCGCACTCTCTATATACCCTAGATGGGAGTGTTTTAATTTTTGGTATGGCCTTACAAAAATATGTCTTAAATATATTTAAGCAAGAACAGCAAGAAGACGTTTTAAAAACCTCCGGAGTTGTAACTTTAATCGCCTAAAAAGGGGGACCAATTAAGATTTAAGGTAAAAATCTTTGAAAAAGTATGTACAATTAAATGATATAAAGGATTTAGTTTAAATTGAGATTTTCCAAAAAATATTTTAAGAATTAGTGATATGAAACACAAAGAAATTTCTGTAAAACGTCTTAAATTATATTTGTATAAATGTTTCATGGATTTATGTATTAGCACAAAGATAAAATATTTAAATCATTCAAAAAAAAAGTTTTCCCCTGAAAACTGTAGGTTTTGAAGGGAATTCGAAGCTTCGACTTCAAAAGCCTGTTTTCCTTTCTTGTTAAACTCTTTTCTGGATTTTTTCTGCTGTTCTTTTTTTGGCATGCGCTACAAGAACGATGCCCAAACAAGAAAGCACGGCCGAAGGAGAACGAAGAAGGCCAGGAGGAGGCGGAGTCCAAGTCGTTGTGGCTAAGGCAGGAATTAGTTTCCGGTGCCGTAGTAAAGATGACAAAAACAACGCGGCGGCAGCAAAAACGGCCGAAAGGATGCAACGGAAGCGGCAAAAGCCGCTTGGCAGCGAAGCCCCCTGTGCTTTCTGTGTTTTTGTTATTTTGTTGTATTTTATTTCTTTTTTTTTATAAGCCAAGCACGCGAGCCAGAGACACCTTGCCATCCGCTCGCTCTCACCCATTGAGCCGCACAGATACGGATGCATCTCACAGATACCCGAACGCACACAGGCGCACGGCAGCAATGGATGCTGCAACCAACAGCGGGAAAAGCAGCAACAACATGTTCATTCATTCATATCCAGCCCACGACGCGCTCTCTTTCGTGCTCTCTCACGCTCTGCCGCTGCCGCTCGTACACAGAGGAAAAAAACGTTCAAGTTTGATCATGATTGGTAGACAAAAATCACAAGAAGTTTAAATTCTGTTCAAGTTCGATCATGAATCATGATTGATACACAAAAATCTATAAGAGTTGAGCTTCTGTTGAAAACGGCATCCATAAGTATGCTTCAAAATCTTATCAAGTTGTAATTCCGGTTGCCTTATTCAAGATCAAATTTTTAGACATCTAAATAAGTTCGATAATAACTTCTTGTATTATTAATTTAATTTAAGTTTGTGATTTTACTTTCGGAATAATGTTCAAAAGGAAAATAATATAATTTTCTCGTGCTTTTTTTAAAAAAATCTATGTTTATAAAAAAAAATTTTTCCACTAACTTAAATTTTTCATAAAGACTTTAGAAAATCCTTTTCTTAATTTAAAAATTTTAAATTAAAATGTAAAAATTTATTGTCAGAAAGAAAGGTTTCGAAGTTTTTTTCTTAACCCTTTATTATATGCTGTTATGAATATTATAATTTACAGATCTCATTTTTTTACAGACTTTCGCTCAGTGTAACGACACGCACGCACCGGCAGCGACGCGAGCAGCGGACTTCTCTGCCGGCTCCAGCGGCTCTCGTTCGCCGTTCGTTTTTGGATTTTCTGTTTGATCAGTTCGAAAAGTGAGTTGGTCGAGCGAACACCTTATAGCGAGGGCAGCGCAATCGAAACGAGACGAATCGAGACGAGAGACCAGCGGTACCATATAGAGTATACGTTCCAGGAGCGAAAGACGAGTCAGCGACGTCGCGGGTGTAGAGTTACTGAATAACAAACACAAACTACCGATAAATTGTAGTGGGCCCTAAAAGATATTCAATAATTTCGAGTGACATTCGCCACAAATCAATCGATCGTTCGATTTAAAACCTGATTTGTAGAGTTTCGGATCTGCAAGTGTGTGTTTTGTTGTGTGCCTGTAAGCCATGGGTTCTGGGCGAGCGAGCGAGATAGAGCGAGTACATTGATTTGATTCGAATTCAATTACAAAATTCATTGAGTGTCAATTACAACCGCAAAGCGAACCTCACGCAAAAATCAGAGGAGGAGATTCCGAGATCGAGAGATCAATTCGAGATCCAGATTCACATCCAGAGCCATAAATCATGCCTGCGACATTGATGTTGCTGCCGTGCATGTTGCTGTTGCTGCTGACCGCCGTTGCCGTTGCTGTCGGCGGCACGCGACTGCCGCTGGAGGTGTTCGAGATCACGCCGACCACATCCACGGCGGACAAGCACAAGAGCCTGGAGTACACCGTCTACGATGCCAAAGATATTTCAGCAGCGGCAGTCACAGCAGCAACTAGTACAGTGAAGCCCGCTGTCGCTGAACAACTGACCGTTGTGAGCATTTCCTCCGCGGCGCTCGAAGAGAAGGAGAAGGACCTCGCCGAATCGCGGCGACATGCGCGACAAATGTTGCAGAAACAGCAGCAACATCGCAGCAGCAGCAGTAGCAACATCATCGGCAAACACGGCGCCGAACGGGATCTGCGCATCCTTTACCAAGTGGGGGTGAGTAAGCAACTATAATTAACCAAACTCAATTGATTAGCATTGGCCAATTACAACGGTGTGGCTCGTGCAACATGTTTGCATTGATCTGGGCAAGAAAAAAATCGACTAAATAAGTACAAATAAAACCAACAACTGGCAATGGCAGGTTGCATAATACAGGCAACAACGTCAGCAGACACCTGTTCAACTGGTTGCCATTTGTAAAATGCCCACGCCAGCAATATCAAACAGCGGCAGCATCTACACAGAAAATAATATCGATCGATTAGAGGGTTTCATTGAAATTTAGGATTTCTCTTGCCATATTCGAGCAACTCGTGATCAAAAACTATGAACACAAACTGCTGATATTATAGTTTATTTCATAATCAATAAATCCCATCGAAATTTCTTTCTCTGCACATCAGGTTTTGCAATGCAACTTTTTTTGGGCTGGGTCCGAGGCTTAGTTTTTTGCTTTTTTCTCTGTTTCTGTTCAAGAAACTCTGGCTATATTTAGCAGCCGCCCTATAGCCATTACACTTGACACCCACAAAACCACTATCCATATATCACCACACGCATATGGCACATTTAATTGCAGCGGCAACACACTCGCTCTAGATGAAAAATGAAAGTTGTTTGCAGCCGAGAGCTCAACTCAACTGATCTGTCGCATTTGATCAATTAAAGTCGCAATTGCTATAACCGAACGATATGAGCGATACCAAAACCAATTAGCCGGCCGGGTCAAGAGTTCAATGCTGACCGATGCCATGACTAAGCCGAACGGTCCACCGAAAAGTTCTTGGCGTTATCTTTCCCCCTAAATCCATTACAATGCGAATTCGGATCATAGGTCAAGTCGGTTCCATTGTTCCCACTCTCGATCTGGCCATAAATCAACTATCCGTTGAGAAAGAGACGGGATTGGGATTGGGATTGGAACTGGGTGTCTGCCATATATCATGTATCGGATATCTATTATGTCAAATGTCATATGACAAAACACGCCCTGAAATCAAATTCTTGCCTGATGTTGCTACGAGGCCGAGGCGTGAAATATCAACAGCCATCAAAAGCAAAATATTGACAATATAAACAAGTAGGCAATGGGGCTGGGCAGTGAAAAACAATGGTTCGAATTTTAAATACCCTTACAAAGGTCACCATTTGGGAATTTTTAATAGGAAATATATAAAATGTAAACGATGATCCTCAGTTGTTTTACTAAAATACTAGACTCTTTCAAAGGAAATTGACATTTCAGATGTATAAATCACTAATCTTCAGTACTTCTAAACGATAAATCCATTAACCTTTTCTCAATCCAAGAGGTACGACTTGGATCATAAATTTTGAAATCCGATTGTCTGCAAAATATTTGGAACGCATATAAAAAAAAGGCATCGCATCAACACCTAAAATAGACAAAAACCCAAAAAACAACAAAATTGAACAGAGAATTCCTGTTGTTTGGAAACTTGCAATAAAAACGCCTTATTGGAGAATAGAACACAACGGAATAGATCCACAAAAGGCAGTGAATGAGCAGCGAGAAAGAGAGGGAGATGGGGGGATAGACAGAGACAGGGACAAAAGGAGAGAAAGAGAGGCAGGGAGGAAGGAGGCTGTGAGGGAGGCGGAGGGAGAGGAAAGTTGATAGAAGAAAACAAAAAGTTCCCATGCTTAAAAGCGCTAAACATTCAGTTCCGGTATTTAAAAACGTTTTCAGCAACAACAACAAACGCGCATGAGATGGGGAGAGAAAGAGAGGGAAAAAGAGGGAGGGAGAAGGGAGACGGGGGAAGACCTGAATGAAAGAAAATTCATGAATGAAATACGACCACGACGACTACGAGAAGTCGATGATGATGGTCATTATGATGGTGGTACGGTATGGTATGGTCTGGTATAATGGGTGAAATGGCGGCGACTGAGAGCGGTGATGAGGTGGTGCATGTGTGAGTGGTTACACAGAGAAAAAAACAAGAATTTCTGGCTAATTAAATTTGTTTAATTTAACAGAAATTTGTGAACGATAACTTTTGGTCAAATTTTCTATTATTTATTTATTTATTTATTTATTCTATTTATTTTTTTAACATATACTAAGTTCAAATTCATATAAACTAAATGCCATAAAAGAGAACCATTCTTTTCTCTCACTGTACATGTGTGTGTGAATGAATGAAAACGTAAACGCTGGATGAGCAGAGCAGCCAGCAAATGCTACGTCAGCGACTTCAACTTCTCGCTTGGCTGGGCAAGTCAATCTATGAATGAATGAATGCCAAAGCGACAGACCGTCCGAAATGTATGAATGGCTAAAGCCAACAACAACGGGGATCGGGCAATTTGTTGGCCATATACAAACAGATCAGCCACGCATATTTGGCCTAAACAAGTCGATGTGTGTGCGCGTGGCATGGCCAAAAGCCAAGAGTTTTGGAAAACGCGGGTTTGGGGGAATGAAATATCAAAGAGTCTGCCACAAATTCCAATTGACTGAGAAATGCATAAACAAATCAAGCATAGATTCCGATTCTGGCTATTTGACCAAGCTAAGTTTTTGGTATTGCAGCCAGGTGTGAAAATGCTTTATAGGCCACAAGCCAAACATGGAAACAAACGCGCCAACTGTGCGTATGCTTAATGCTAAAATCATGCAATAAATATTTATGAAAAAAATACATGTGTTTTTATAAATCGCAACATTTTTTTTCTTCTGTTTTGTCGGCCACACCTCTGATGGTTATTTATGGCATTTTTATGCTAATCAATACATCCGATATGTTTGACATGATTTGACAATTTTCAATTCAACCATCTTCAAACAAGTTTTATGAATCGTTGATCTGCTTTTGGTTTTTTTTCCACAGAAATCATCAATGGAATTAAGCATTCGTTTTCTAGTTAACTTTGTCAGGTTTTAATTTTGATGAGAGATTCTTGTGAATGAATTTCTACGCTGGGAACTATCGTTTGGGGAACTTCCACGGAACCTTCTAATTGATCAATCACACTCCTGCTACAGAATCGGTCTACTTCTATAGAATTGATAGATCATATCTGTGTTCCTTAATTGGTTGATGAGTAAATTTTGTAAAAACTGAATTTAAAAGAAAAACTGTTATTCACATTTACATTCCAAGCATAAATCATAAAAATTCCATTTTATTTTAATACGATAGTGAATCGAGTTGCGCTTCCCTTGATTTCGCATATCATGTTTTCATAATTTTAATCTATGCTGTTTTTTCTCTATGATGGAATTTTTAGTATGCTAAATATAGAAATTATTTAATGCATTCCAGAGGCAAAAAGTAAAAAAAAAAATAATCATAAAAAAGACAAACAAATATTGAAAGAGAGTAGACAGCAACAACAACAATGGCTATATATCGGTTAAGTGTGTCTGGATGCCGCAGACACAGATAGGCGCGTATATAAAAATATTTGCATAAAAAAACAACAACAGCATACCGCAATTATTCACCTAAAAAAATGCCCAAGTCTACAATCTCGGAGAGCTCCATTGAGAAAAATGCCTCGACAACAACAACCTGAGCCAACGGATGCTCGGATACCAAAAAACTAGTTTGCCCACTTTTTTCCCTCGACTTCTTCTTCTTCTTCTACAATATATATACTTTGTTGTTGGCGCGCGCGCCAAGACAACTTTTATAGATACAATATATATATATATATTTTATATGAATTAACAAAAAAAAGCTTACTTAAGTCGCAGTCGCAGCTTTAAATACACTATAAATTATATAACAGATTTTTCAGTCAATTTAAAATAAAATACAAAAAGAGTGGTTATAGAAATTACATTTCAAAATAATCCAAATCACCTGAAAAGAGAATTAGGAGAAGGTCAGTGGATTTTAAGCGAAAATAATTATCTTAGCAATTATTTATTTGTCAGCCATAAGGTCAAACAAATGTCTTGTCTTGTCCAGACCTCCATTGATATATATACACTCTTTTGATATTGTTGATTTATAACATCTCCCATTTGGCTGCCCCTATTGTTCGAAATGTCTTAGCTTTGTACCACATTTCAAAGACATTTCTCTGCTGTTGGCCAAGGCGGAAATGTGGCTTGAAACACTTCCGCTTTTGCTGGCCAAGAAGCAAGAGAAAGAGACCTTGTTACACTTATTGATGGACACGTTCCAATTTCCCACAACTAGGGGCTTTTTCCGATCGTGTAAGTGTGCTAATTACGTGCCCAAAGGCGCAATTTGTTTACAATAATATCAAAAACAAGAAGAAGAAGAATACGAAAAAAAGTAAAACGATGGCGGGGCAAAAAAAATAAATTAACTATAAATAAGCAAAGGCCAACAACGAACGAATGCTCGTCTTCGCTTGTTGCTGGATTTCATTCATAAAAACTCACGCAGACGGCGAGTAAACAACAATATTGGAATGGGCATGGGTGTTACAAAGGGGGGCACCGGGGAGGCAATGGGGCGTGGCACTGCGAGTTGCTCGTAATTATCAGACAAAACAAGCGAAGAACCATTTTCAGCGGTTTGATGGCGATTTGCGCGCGATTTTTGCAAGAAAATAAATATATATGTTGATTCCAAAAAAAAAAAGGAAAAAACGCAAACAGGCAAAGCCTGTTTACACTAAAAGCCGGGCAACTTTTCATTTAGCTAGCTAGCCATTCATTCATTCATAAAAATCCCCGCAGCAACATCAACAAGCCATCGGCATTGTAGTCAAGATTTATTTATTTGGCGGCAAGCGCGTAAAAGGAGACAACAGCACAGCAGCAACATCTCAGAAGTAGCAGCAACAGCAGCAGCAGAAACTGCAACTGCAACAGCAACGGCAGCAACATGTTTATAGCCCGCCATATAGTCGGCAACATTTTGCGGTTGTCTTATTTCTTTTTGGCCAAGGCAACAATTACAATGGCCAGAAAGCCGCAGTGCAAAAACAAAAACAACAACAACATAAAAGCCACAAACAACTATGCCACGTTGTTGCTGAATGAA